AGAAGCCCTAATGCTAGCCAATGTCAAGAATTCACAGCATGTTCCTCTATTATTTACATGTTATATAACCGGGCGGTGGATCTGAGCCATGGTACCCACTTTATTAGATTGATGTCCATGGATCATGGTAGGGTTCTGCGGGGCTAGCTGTTTTTGTTGATGTTTCTGACTCACATTTCCTGATCCGGGTTTGGCAGATACAGGGGATCGCCGCAATAAGGTGTCCCCAACAGATAGAGTAGCAATATGTGTATTAAGCATTTGCATCTTGCAGGCCCGGCACCGGGTACTGACTGACTGTTCGCTCGTAGCAGCACTAGTACGGACTGATTTGATTAATTAATTATTAATGCTCTGCTGTGCCCCTTGGGCCAATCAATCTCCATCGGTGAAGAGTTCTGAGCTGGTTCCTGCTTTATTATCCGAACCTCGGTACTTGTGTACCTTACGTACCTTATTAGATTTGTAGTCGTCTTGCATGGATTTGCCGAGCTGGGGGGAGCTTTGATGTGGGGTGGTTGCGAGATCGCGAAGCTTGTTCTCCATCTATTTTCTTTGGCTTCTCATGGCTCGACAGTGCAGAAATCGAGGCAGAACTCAATGCCACATGAGTCGGTATACTCGTACGTACTCAATCGCCCCGAGTTCTTCTGGTAGAATGTATGCGCACGTTGATAGACAGCTATAGATCTCGTAAATTAAACTAACTTAACTACCGCTCTCCCCCTGAGGCTCTTCGCCGCGTTACTGCACACTGGCCTGTGCACACAACCACGGTCAGGCGTATGATTGAATTCATGAACACTAAGCACTTTGCAGGACGTCGACTTGCTTACAATATCCTGTACCACACAGCAGCGGTTGAGTCACCCGTTATCACCAGCATCCCCTTTAGGAAAGTGCACGGTAGCAACAACATGGGTAATGATCGGAATTGCTCTAATTGCTCTAACGGGCTATCTCGATGTGGTGATGCTAGGGATTGAGTTTAACCAGAGAACAGGCAGACGGTAGACCATACAGGAATATTCCCAAATCTCAGGAGAGAAGAAGTGAGCGCGAAAGGAGATGCAGAAGAGCACAATTTCACATAAATACCCCCCGATATCCGGTGATTGATCAATCCTCACCTCACCTCACCTCGCCTCACATCCTCATCCTCATACTCAACTATTTTCACCTAATTCATCCTGATAACCACCTCTCCAAAACCTCACAATGAAGTTCACTCTCTTCGCCACCACCCTTCTCACCGCGACTCTCGCCTCTGCATCTCTCCACAAGAGATATGTCGTCGCCGCCCCAGGCCCGACCCAGGGCGCTGCCGTCGAGAGCTGCAACCGCTGGGACTACATCGCCGCGGGTACGACCTGCTACGACATCTTCACCAAGTACGGCATCACTCTCGCCCAGCTCACCTCCTACAACCCCTTCTTGACCGCCGACTGCACAAACATGTGGGCCAACTACTATGTAAGACCTTTCCTCCTCCTCCTCCGTGCTAGCAATAATTGAAATCCCGCAGTCGCTAACACTATGTTCCCTGTATGTAGATTTGCTCTGGTGTCGCGGCGAATAGTTCGGTCGCGACATCAGCCGGGACACCGGTCGGGACAACGGTCGCTCCAGTCACCAGTGCACAGACTTCTGGTTGTGTGGCGTCCACCGCGACGGTCACGGTCACAGTGACTGCTTAGTCTTAGACCGTTGCCGCGAGGTCTATTTAATTAGGCCAATATAAGGTCTTCTGGATATAGAGACCGGAAGAAAGACAGTTCAATGAGGGAGTGCTTATCACGAGGTGTGATTGATGGCGTGGTATTGAGGATGTCGAGAAAACATGTAGTTAGGATGAGGATTAATTACTTACTTTAGTCTAAACCTTATCTGAACCAATGAGTTCTTTGGTGATTGAGTCCTGAGCCCGAATGTGATTGTTTTATACCCTAATTTGAGAACCTATATTGAGTTGGGGAAGACCTGAGAAAGAGACTCTAGTTGGGGCATTTATGATTTATATTAGGAGTCGCTAACATGTTTCCACCCACAAGTGGGAAAAGTATGCCCGTGTTGTAAAGGAGTGATAAAAATGAGTTAAATAATACCGCATCTATGCAAACCGCCGGCTCTGTTATTCCAGAGTTCTAGACTTGGCAATGGTAGATCTAGCAATCCAGGATTGCTAATGTATACTCATTGTAAGGCGTAAGAATTGAAGGGATTGTTATCTATTATGTTTGTGAGGGAAATAAAAAGTGGCATAATGTAGCTAAGTTTACTAGAATAAACTAGAAAAAGTTAATCTTATGCTAAATTGAGACAAGAGTATTTGAAGGTGATGATGATAACTTCCCCGGACAGGGTTGAACTGTCAACCTCTCGATTGCACAATATGCCAGGGAAGAGCCCTGGATATCTAACAGTCGAACGCGCTAGCCAATTGCGCCACGGAGAATTACTAAACAGGAGTAACTATGCTTACATATACAAAATGAACCCATCATCGTTCGGAGGGGATCTTCGTTCAGTTTTGCATGATCTTATGAGGAAATATGGTACGAGATAACCGGGAATTGGTGGAATCAGGCGTGAAGTGTCCCGTGTAAAAGAAAACGTCATAAACTCTGCTGGAATAAGAGCGGGAAATAAATATTGTTTTCCCCTCCAGATATAACCTGACACTAAGCCAAACCTTGGGCTTCCGCATCTAACCCTAGGTTGGACATTGCACCCTCCTCTGCGCAGGGCCTAGCCTTCGCAAACCCCATAAAGGGTATGGACATACAAGTCAACCTGAGATTGTTTTGTTTTTCACTATAAGCATATATATATTGAGAAGACCTGCGGAATGATAGTTTTATTCGGAGGTGAGACGCAGTGTAGCGGGGGTCTTCTCTGATAGGTTTTACGTATTCCAAGATGTGAGGTGAGCAGATCTAGAGAGATGAGAGTCAGAGGAATGAAAGCAGTGAGAAGGGGGAAGAAAGCACAAGCCAGGAGGATGGTTATGTTTCGAGAGACCGCCAAAGTGTCGAGCCGATCTCCGAGTCTATGAGTACCGGGGGCATGTACTTCTAGCCACTGTGAAAATATTGTGCTGTTCTCCCACCTAAATGGAATACTAGCTAGCAAGACATGGAAAATCTTGATAGAGCGGTTTCAACCGAACGATGGTAGAGTTAGGAAGGTTGCGTGTCATCGCGTCACCTTCATCGTTGGGGCTCTGCGGGTGGGGCTCTGCGGGTGGGGCTCTGCGGGTGAGGCTCTTGTGCCAACCCTTCTGTCCTTTGAGCAACCTTGCACACCTTAATCTCTACCACCGCGCTCTTGTACAGCCGCATTCGAAAAGTTTTGGCACCTCCAGGCCAAGCTCACGGGGCAGTCCTTTCTGCTTTGCAATTCTCATACTCGAGACCGTTGTCAGAGAGAGCTGTAATGTCTCTATTGCGGTCATATCTGTCAACAAGTTGAGTATGCGCGAGTGCTACGGTTGTTGGCGGGCTGCAATACATGAACGACTCAATATAGTAAGGTGCCAGTACTTTTCGAATGCGGCTGTACATCATGTACGTACTCAATTTTTCTTACCCCCAAACCATGCACATCCAGCATTGAGCATGACGGACAAGTATCACTTCAGCCGTCAAGTCGGATCGTAATACCAGTTCTAATCGTCTAGTATACTATCAGGTATGTATACTTGTATGTGTTCTTAATCAATGCTGCCAATATACTAGGCATGCAGCGCAGGCTCTCACGTACGCCAGCTACAAGTAATTATCAGATGCCAAAGATAGCTATAGTGCGCAAATCTGCACTGGAAACATTTGGGTTGAGAGTTCACGATACCCTGAACAATAAACCAAACTAGAAACTGGCATTATAATCCGGTCTGGAGGCTTAAGGGGGTAGATGTGGATCTCTCTGTGAAGATTTGGCATGCGCATATATGAATAATGCCAGCTGCGTTACTGTAAGCATAATTTGTTAGATACAAGCAGATATAGTTACTTCAAGCTATCGTTAGGTAATATCTACTTCAAGGGATTTCACTGACCTATCGCCGCAGTGAAGTCTGATATTGTGATATCGATCATTGACCCTCACGAGTGATATGGTGTGACTAGACAGGGAACACACTACAATAGTTACGTAAATTTATCCGCATTTTGGGGCTAGCCAATAACTTTCGATATCACCGGTAGACAGAATACCTACTCGCTAAGATCGTACAGAGGGTCAGCCTTATATGTTGTATATCGGACCCCTTATTCAAGGATTTTTTTTTTCTTTTTTCTTTTTTTGTTTAATTCATTAATTGTATTTAGTCAAGGCTTGCTTAAGGTGAATTATATGTGTAAGAAGGATTATTCGATCGCAGAGAGTAAACAGATACATCATATACGAAGAGAAGAAAGCCAATGAGAAATTGATAGAACTTTATTCGCTTTTGCTCATCCGGATATTATAACTCTTAGAGAGAAAGTCAATGGGAGCGCTATAGCTCTTGAAATGAATTTGATGATTACAATAAATAATATGCAGTAAGAAATGTATATACATACTGAACGAGAACCTTTCCCCCATATGGCCATAAAACCCCGACTTACTGAAGCAACGGATTCACCCACCCCAACAACCATCAGATGTTTAAGCCTAAATTCCGGAGCAATCAAGGACTGAGAAAAGATAGCGTAAGTAAACCACTCACTTCAAGTATTATCTAGAACTATTATCTTCATAGTTAGCCCAAAGCATTCCACTGAAGTTACTCGAAGGGCGTGGTAAATCGAGAAACCAGACTGATGTATGGTATCAGTTGCAATTGACTACAGCGTATCATACCTATCATACATATACATGCTCATGGATCATAGGGAGCGAGGATCGCCTTCTGTTATACAACCAACCTGTAGCTATACCCCCGATTGAAGCTATAGAAAACAATCAGTTTCGATTTGATATAAGTGTATCACAATAAGTACTTGAGATAGGACGTACTAACACTTGTATCCTGGAGTTATATCCACAACCTGAGATTCAAACGCAAGGGGTTTTGGCCGTCTCTCTCCTTCTCCAAAGGCCCAACTCAAGTAGTTACCGACGCCTCTTTCAAAGAACTCTGAGAGCTAAATGGAGTTAGCACTCATGATACAGTATTATGATCTACTTTGGGACGAACAGGAAGATATTTGCACAATACCCAAACAGCAATCACGATCGCCAAGAATGGTATAGACACAAAAAAGTAGAGGTGCCAGCTTGGGTCCTTGGCGAGAATATCCACATTCATTCCAAAGAAACTCTAAATACGGGTCAGCAAAACTCGAAGCAATCTCATGAGGATTCACCTACCGTGATGAACATCAGTGGTAGGAATATGAACTAGATCATTTAATGTAAGCGCATGACCACAATTGTATTTACAACCTCGGTATATATGTGTTGCCTAACCGTAATCTAGCTGAGGCGTTGCATGCTTTCGGACATTTCAATGGAACGCCGGGCTTCGTATATTGAAACCAAGTTAAATTCCTAACCAAGGTGAAGATTAGTTCCATTCCCGATCTCACAGGAGAGTACATCGTATTCTCACCAATTCAATCATCTCCTTCGATTCCCGGTCGAGCTCGGATAATGCGGCTTTATATATCTCATCAAACTCCATTATCTGCTCTGACAGCCGGCGGATTGGAGGAAGCGCCTCTATATCTTGAGTGCGTGGCTCAACTACCGGGCTATGGCATGACTTGGGTACTTCGGTATCGAGCCCAAGACACACATCGGATGAATCGGGAGTGGGGAGTAGTTCGGAATAGAGCGCATAATTTCCCTTGAACGCTTCCAAAAGCTCTATCATTTTCAAATGATTCTCTTTGTGGTTCTTGCGGAGTTTTGACCACTCCTGGCTATCCTTGAGTAAGGATTGTATAACAAAAGGGTTTCTCCCCCCTTGACTTAGTTGAACTTGTCGCTATGAACATCGAGGAGAATTAGCTGAGGAATGGACATATAAAAAGAAAGCTGGAGAAACGGACTATTTCAGTGATGTGCAACATTGCACTTTCAATAATAACTCTCCACCTCTCAGAGATATCTTGAAAAAACCATGTCACAAACTCGGCTGCATGTCGCGGTATTGAGATGTTTCTCATATTTAAAGTGCCCCGGAATTGCACCGTGCGTAGAGAGCAAACTTGTGTCCTCGAAGCGGTATCGGCGGCGAGCATGATCCAAGGTATCTCCACTGCTTTCACGCCGGATGTGAACGATTGCGAGACGTGGTTTTTACATCGGATTGGACAGCAGAAGTATGCATAACCGATGAATATTACTAGAATAAATGGTCAAAAATAAGGGAGAGATCGCCAGACGAAGTGATATTTACCTCTTTCTCCACTGTATGCTAGAACATCCTTGTTGGGAATTGCGGAAAATTGTGGTTGGTGATTGGATAATGAGCCATGGTCATCCACGGTTGACCAGAGCCAGAACACAGACGTTATCCTCGAATAATCGCATGTATAATGACGCAGCACGAGTTTATGATTGAATAAACTTCGAGGGTCTACGAATGATACTTCGCCCCTAGAGCTTTGAGAGTCTGAGTTGAGTTCTCGTTTTACTCTTAGACTACAATATTGATGTATTCTATGTAAGCTGTGGAGATCTTTATGATTCCAGTTATATCGTAGAGTTGGGTACTTACGCCACAAAATGAATTGAGTACGACCTTGTATCAAGAAACCTTCGCCGGAGGGACACGATAGAGTCTGGCTCAGAGACAGACTCAACAGAGGTTCCTTTCCCGGGAGTTCGACACAACACAACGTGGCCAGTACTAGGATTGCTGCCATCATATGCGTGTATCAAGATTGGCAGATGCTTCACCGTTAGACGGTCAGTTGTAGCACCTTTCTTTAGCAGAAGACGCGTGATATCGACGAGTCCCTTATCAACTGCAATCTGTAACGGAGTCTGATCCCCAAGGTCACGAGTATCTATATCGATATCCCTGGAAACCAATAGCTGCACTGCCGGTAGACTCTCATGCCTGACTGCAAGGTGACGTGGGTTGAGCCAAAGGTGTCTCGAGCACTGAAATGATTGGGCGCGCATTTCTCCAAGATCAAACGGAATATAGTTTCATTATAATCCGAGCATGTTGCATGTAGAATGTTTCCCTGTTGATGGTCTATCGCGGCGATGAGATCAATTGGTTTCAAGGTCGGGCCAAGGCGTAGATAATTCCCAAGCCCAGTTGCGTGGGAGGCGTCAGTATTGGGCTGCAGCTGGTTATATGCGGAGAACAGAAGTAGCTCCACTATGCGTTCGAACCGACATTTGACAGCAATATGCAATAGCGTATCTCCGTCTGGATATTTGATGTTGATATTGGCCCCAACGTCCAAGAGTAACTGCAAACTGTCCTCGTTCTGTCCTTCAACAGCTTCTCTCAAAGCTCCACCGAGATCGGCACCCTTGTATACAAACAACTGCAGGATCGTTTTGTGTCCTTCTTCTACGGCGGCCTGCAATGCGGTCCTTTCATACGATGGGACTGGTCCATTGGGGTCAACACCTTCGCTCAAGAGTAGCTGTACTGTCATTTCATGTCTTCCTTCCACGGCAGACTGTAGTGCGGTCCTCCCAAATATTCTTGCTGGTGGTGCATTCACATCCGCGCCAGCTTCCAACAACAACTCCACCACCCTCGTGTGCCCTCCGTCCGCAGCAGGCTGCAAGGCTGTTCGAGAAAGGTCGTGAGGGTCTGTCCCATGGACTTGGCTACCCCAGCACATATATTTCCCAAGATTGCACACGTTAGATGTGCGTGTAACACACCTATAAATGCCCCTTTCAACTTTAACAACAACGGATCCATTATTAAATTCTCCGAGCTGTGGCCAGTAACGGGCCTCAATATCTGCCCCTTCTTGAAGATATAGCCCGACGGCTTCTCTGTCCCCCCTCTCCGCCACCGTCACTAAAGCCCGGTTGAGTTTTGCTTGCCCTGCTACCGATGCCAAGCTCCTCGCTTGCCGAATAACTCGCCGCATCACTTGGAGGTTTACCGGAAATTAGGCGCGGGGGTGGTTTTGATTCTCGACAAGGCTCCCTGGAGGGAGCTAGATACATAATCTATGGCCGTGATAGAATTGGGACGGATAACTTGGAGAGGTCGTGAGTGTATGACAGGGCTATCAACACTAGGAAGCTTAGTTTATCATGAGTGTTATTCGCCATGATTATGTAGAAATGCCTATTTACCAGTGGTAACAAGAGCCTCAATGATATATCTTGGGTTGCAAATCCGCTGATGCAAGAAACTACACTTTCGAAATATCCTCTCGAAACCTTGACTTTCTTGATTTTGCGTCGGTGAGGGTTAATTTTGGATAAGCAAGGCTCTCAAAGAATCAATTCATGAATATAGCATATACTGAATGATAAGCACCAATACCCGAAAACCAGAGAATCACAGTACGTGAGCGAGGTAAAACAACAAAGCTAGGCTGGTCGTATATATACACTAGCGTGGAATAAGCCCCGTTGCACATGAGCTCATAACCACACTATTTTGCTCCTTCGCACAAAGGCTACAAGTTTACAGCTGAAATACGAACCAGTCGAACGTTCCAAGCTTACAATATGTACAAATTCAAATATTAATGCATGCAGTATGCATGACACAGCCCTTCAGCTAGAGGGCTTAGCATTTGCACTCTAGGGATCTACCATAATATTCCCCACAATTGGAGCATCTACGGAACAATTTATCCGGGTAGATATGCCCAAATACAATTAATGAATAGAATCGCTCAATGACAATTACTTATATCGCCGACAGTTGCCAGAGCAAAATATAAAAAGTGTTGACTGATTGCGGAAAGCTTAACTCCCTGCCAAACAGGGTTTGCATCGTGAATAGTCAACAGGAGGGCTGACACCTCTTGTAAGATTTATGATTGACATATATCTCTTCGTTAATGATATAGGCTTAATGGGTATGTAAACACAGCCTCCCGCTGGAGCCTAAGCGACTAAACACATGACCAGTTTGTTCATAATACATTATCACCGGTTCTCTCGGCGGTGTTCTAGTCGATCTCATGCATGTACGTACATATCTTTACTGTGATTGACCTAGAGGGTGGTCGAGTAGGAGTGAGACAAGAGAATTGAAATTGAGGACGTTAGATTTTAGTAGGGTTAGGGGACGTTGGACACCCTCTGCACGTGAAGGCTGAGCCCAGAGGTAACCATTTGCCCTTGTTGTCAATAATTGACGTAAGAGCGCAGGCTCAGAAACCAAGATTTATTAATATACCCCCCGCAAAGACTGCAATCTAGGCGAGCTACCCTGGGGTAACAGTACCAGCTTAAAGGGTGTCGGAAAATGAGGCACATTGGGTGATATCTCAACCATGAGAGAACTAGTCTTCACACAAGTCTATCTTGAGGTGAATTTAAGTGTGCACATTCCTTTCATAATGAAAAAATAAATAAAAAAGGTCAGTCATTGATACTTTTTTTGGTTTTTTGCTACTGGTTTGGGCTACCTAATAGCGACTTCTTGCCTGAGGAATGGTTATTTTATATCTAAATAACACCAAATGTATTCTTAGGCATTACAGAGATGTTCTACACTAGAAGTTTGAATTTAGGGAGCGTGTTGCATTGTGCCAAAATATATGTATTTGGGGAAATTGGGCGTTGTCAGGCCAAAATGTGCATCACTTTCCAACACCCTGGGTACAAGCGCGCCTGAGATGAAGTGTTTTTTCTTAATTCGCCATATTATGACCCAACGCCCTTTTGTATCAATTCAGCTAGGTATGTTCGGTTTTAAATTACGGGTGCTATACACAGGGACAAGGCTCTAGCACAAAATTTGTAATCTTTAGAAAACAGCAACACAAGACTAAGACCAATGGCAGAAGATAAAAATCTTTATCTGACAGAAAATATAGTACAAAGGAAATCATAACTCTGCCATAAGCAACATTGCCTAGGGTTGTAGTGCACCTGTTGACAACCAAACCATTGCCGCTAACAACGCAATTAATGCTATCAATGATCAATAGGACCCGGAAAGATGAAAGACTTGCAGTGAAATACATCACTTAAGAGAGGCTTCTGGAAGAGAATAGGAGAAGCTATATGGGCTTGAACTTAGAAGACTTCCTTGAAGCCATGCAAAGCTAGGGTCTTGGCGCATTTTCGGTGTCAAGAAAAGAAGAGTAACACAGCTTATGATGCTGGCTACGAGTGCCTACAATTTGATTTTGAGCAGATAGAACGATTATTCATACGAGAAGATACAACACTCGAAGCCTTATGAGAACTGGCAGCTGACGAAATTCGAAAGAGTCAGGAATTGCTTATACCGCACAACTCATAAGGGCCACCCTGTCGCAACCTGTACATGTGGGATTAGAGGAGAGAGGTAAATATGAAGTGTGTATGTACTAGATGCACGGTCACTAGTTCCGGTGCATGGTGCTGGCTGGCTGTTGTGATCACTCTCTATTCTCCGCCGACGATACGAATATAGCGTAGTAATGCCAGCCAATAGAAGCGTGTGTATTCTGTGGTGATAACAAGAGGGAGAGGAAGCACTGTTAACTGGAGGTAGTCGACTGGCGACACCTATCCAATGTGATCTAAACCGCTACGTTTCTTCTGACCTCCGTCCGCCGCGTCAACGACTATACCAAGCGAGATCGAGCTTATTCACCAACCGCTAAGCTGAAGCGGCCAGTTGCCTGAGGTTGTACAAGTGTGTCTACAAACTCAAACTACCACGCTCGCAGGATCACTTGCGGAGAACTTATGGAGTCAGTATTAGGGCTTCCGATTGCATCTATGTGCATGATTAAAAGTGCTATTATGTACAATCATTGAGTTAATAAGAACAACATGTCATAGTCATGCGTGCACGAAATATCACTCGGATTGCTTGATAATTCATTAATTGTATGCTATCAGGCCTAGAAAATGAGATTATCGCGATCAATACCAACTACTCTACTCATGGTGAGACTGTGTAGATTGCGTAGAAGGGAGTGCGGATGGAAAACCCAACTGTTGGCCCAAATGTCTTGTCTATTTGATAGTAATCATTGTGCGCTGGATATAAATATATATATATCACTGATCGTAGGTACTCCCAGTCCAGACGACATATGGAACCTCCTAAACGCGGGCTTGAACTGTATCATGAAAACTGGAGATCTAGTTGAAATCTTGATCACGCTATAATACATAATAAACTTCTACGTTTCGCTATGTTTTATACTCGCTGTACATGTTCTCAGACAGTGTGGGTAAACTGTGCCAGGACTATGGCAAAGCAATCAGCTACGTCCCAGAAGCCCAGCTTGTTTAGTAATGGTTTTAGCGACGCCCGCTATCTTTAGCTGTGACATTATTTCTACGCGAATCGAGAGACCAAAATGCAGCTCAGATGTGCGGAAGATGGTGCTGGGCAAAGAACAACGAGGCCCAGGAGGAGGTCGAGGGTACCAAGGCAGCTCAGATATATATGCGGAAGATGGTGTTGGGCAAAAAAACAACGAGGCCCAACAGGAAGTGGCTGCAACTGTTTGAGAGTTTATGATTTCCCTTTTTCTTTATTCTGTTTCCTTGTGGGTGGAGTGACACGTCTGAAAATACGTTCTCTTTTTCTATTTATTCCTTTGAGTCAATTTCTTCGAATTATTTCGTTCAATCCTTTCTTTCCCCATTATGTAAAGCGTTTTATGAATCAACATGATTATCCTTCGCAGAGTGTGTGTTATGAATACGATGACTAGCTGACAAAATATTAGCGAAATAAATCCGGTGGAGCTGATATCCTCAACCTTGATTACTGGCGTGCAAAAACCTTTGCGGAGCTACATCTCCCAGTGGTCGACCGTTACCTTTACAGCCTAGAGTCTTTAATTTCCTACTGCACTTTCCATATTAAACTCCGAAAAATCATGGGCTCATTAATGTAAATGTAGCCATGATAAATTAAAGATTGATTAGTTTGACCAACATGATTATTTTCAATGATTTAACCCTCCGGAAATTCAACTTTGTACGTGCAACTATCAAATCAATGGTTCTCAGTAGAATTGCGGGGGGATATGAATAAAAGATCGTAGCCGAGTTTACTTAAAACAACGCTGTTCACGATATATTAGGTGGCCGTGTCTTCATGAGAAATCACTCGTTGGCACAATTCACCATTGATGGGAATTAATCATTAACCTGACAAATACCGACATGCATGGGCCGAGCCGGTCCTGAATGAAAGAAGTTGAGTTAGGACAGAGTGAATCGGTGTAAAGTCGGTAGTCGGATGTAAAATACTCGAGGTATGCGGGCCACCAGAAGCTAGGAGGTCTAAAGGTCCAGAGAGAAAAGAAAAAGATGCAATTAAGAGGGGATCTTTTTAGCGGGCCTTCACTTTTGAAAGGAGTTAGAACACGGGTACTAAGATACTAGTTGAGGTATACCTTATTCCAAGCAGACAGAAACCGTCAATAGGCAGAATGCAAACAATATATATACTTGTATGCTATAGCTGATCACGAGAGTATCATAGTATCAAATATATACATCATATGTAGCCATTGGGATTCTATCAAAACCAAAAGCCACAACTATCTACTCCTTATTGTCAGCCTAGTGAGAACTGTACCGGCGAGACCAACAGTCGATTCGGGTGGCGTCGTTCCCGGCGTATCAAGGCACGCAGACTAGCTCAATCGACTAGACATCGCACCCCCCAAGAAAAGCCTAAAGAGTACATATACGAACAACATTATTCTGCTATAGCGATATAACCTTGCGCATCAACCTAGAAAATGTGGACCGTACAAAGCTTAAAAGAAGAAAGAAATCGCTCGTCATTTATGACGGAAGTAGGTACTATTTAAGAATTGAAACGGTTGGGATATAGCAGTTGAGGATTTTGTGGTGGGGGGGCGGAAGTGTATTTCATGCTGGTGTGTATTTCATGCGCACCTTATTCGGTCGTACCTGCGGTCACCTTTTCTGCCTCTGCCAACCGGCTGTCCCTGCCGCTTATGCATCCATATAAACCCGCGAGGTTTCGCATACTGCGAAGGGTTTTTGGATGTTCCTTTCCTAATACTCGACTCCGCGCATCCACCACCTGCAGCATTAATATCACTGCTTCTTCCAAGCGTCCCTGCCTATAATAGACAGAGGCAAGGGCATGCATACTGCTAAGGGTGTCTGGATGTTCCTTTCCTAGTATTTGACTCCACGTATCTGACACCTACAGAAGTATTGTCTCTGTCTCTGCCGCTGCTAATCGTTTCTGACTCTTATATACCTCCGCAAGGAGGTGCATACTGTGAAGGGTGCTTGGATATTCCTTTCCGAGAGTTTGGCTTGCCGCCTCTATCACCTGCAGCAATAGTGTTTCTGCCTCCTCCAAACGTCCCTGCGAAACGTAGAGATGGGAAAGGTCGTGTAGAACTGTAAGAGTATCCGGATTTTCCTCTCCTAGTGTTCGGGTAGATATGTCCAGCGCCTGCAGGTGTAATGTTTCTGCTTCCGCCGACCGTCCTTGGAGCTCGTAGAGGATGGCTAATTCGCCTAGAGACATTAAGGTAGCCTTATTTTCGTTTCCAAGTATTCGTTTCCTCGCTTCAAGAACTTGCATTCCAATTACCTCTGCCTCATCTAGCTGCCCTTCATCCCTATATAAAATGAATAGTTCGTGCGCAGTATTCAATGTATTCACATGCTCGTCCCCCAGTAACCGCTTGCGCGTTTCTAGAACATGTGTGAGTAAACCTTTCGCCTTTTCCACCAGTCCACGATATCGATAGGACACGCCTAAGAGATTCATGATGTGCTGCGTGTTTGGATCATCAACTGCCAAGGTTTCTTTGCACCCTTCAAGCATGTATAACAGCAGTCCCTCCGCGCTCTGGTGGCGCTTCCAATCATGATAGAATTCCACCATCCAGAGGATCCCAGACAAATACTTCGTCTCTGGGGGCAGTGTTGTCAAATAAATCTCGATATGTTCCCTAAAGTGTTCGATATGTGGAGATATACGCTCTTCATACTTCCACTGACTGGTCGTTCTATAACCGGTGCGCGAAAGCGCTCGCCCAAGCAGTGCGCTTACTTCGGTTGTTTCCTGTGCTCGCTCCTTATCTCCAAGTCGCTCCAAGGCCCACCGATGAACTATTGGATGGATGTGAAAGCACTCCCTGTTAGCTTTGCGATGAGCTAGTGAATACGAGAAGAGGAGATTGAGTGCGTCAAGAAGTCTTCTTCCCGCTTTTAGAAAGTCAGCGTCAGGTTACATAGAGTACTAGGGGTTGAATGTAGACAGTACAGTGTGCGTCCCATCCCATCCCTCGGTTGAGGTTATCTTCCCATATGTCTTGATTGGAAATAAACGCGCATATAAGTAGGAGGTCGGCGGCTTCTTCATTTTCAGCTTTTATTGCTTCAAATGAGACCTCCCAGGTAGTAATGATGGTTTTATCTCGATACGCCCATGCTGTACTTAGAAGCTTTTCCTTCATTATATTTTTAAAATTACGTTCGTATAGGCTTAGGTACTTCTGAAACGTTATCTGACGCGCTGCGATATAGGTGCCCGCTTGATCGATTGCTAGAGGGAGGGATCCAAGTCTCTTGGCCACCTCCTCGGCGGCGGAGGTCTCTGCGCCTTGATCTTTGAGTGTATTAGTATCGTGGATGTTGTGTCCGTTCAGACGACCTGAACTACGCAGTAACAGGTGTACCGCGTTATAGGTTAGCATCAATTCGACCCCAAGTTCAGTGGCCACTCGGGCCCACCTAGTCCTTCTACTCGACACAAGGATCGTCTATATGCAGCAGCTGGTATAAAGTCGCGGATGCTGAAAGACTCTAGATCATCGATATTGTCAAGAACCAGAAGCCAGTTGTCATTCTCTTCTTGGGCCCACCATCTTTTAACAGCAGCAACGATGCGTTCGTTAACTTCGTCCTCGGCGCGAATCTGCCCATCTGGGTTCAATAATCCAGAAATACCCAGCCCCAGTGCTATCTGTCCATAGTCGGGTAATGACGACGCAGACATAAGATTTGCATGGTGGTCAACCAATCGTTGGACTATCGATCTGAACCCTGCTGTGGTTGTTTCTTTACTGGTGGCATTTACCCAGAAAACAGAACTGAATTCTGCGTGATGTTGGTATACGTACTCTAGCAAAACTTGGGTTTTACCGATACCCCCCATCCCTTGGAGAACGATGATACGTGGCTCCTCCTCGTCGATCATTGACTTGAGCTTGTGCAGTAACTCCTTCCTTCCCGTGAAATTGGTATTTCGATGATATTCCAGCTCGAATGGTACAGTGTATCGATTACTGTGACTACCCTCCGTTTTCACTAAGGATTGCAAAAATCACACACGGTTAGTCGCAGAAGATCAAATGATATCTAAAACAGTCGGTGTTAATGTTACGTTTCGAAAGCTCTGTAAATCTTCTTCTTATAACGTCTGGTGCTTCTTTGACACAGTCCTCGATCCTTCCCCGGAGGTTAATGTAGTCTTGGTCGCTTCGGCCGGTGAATCGTGAGAGTGTCCTATGATCGACATCTCTCGACAACTGGTTGTATCTTGCTTCCAAACGGGTAGAATATATAGCTGACTCTCTGTTAACTATGAGGACCTCAGGTCCCGTTCTCCGCCATTGGCCGTTTTCTGACCTCTAGACGAAAGATTAGTAACAGTAATCATACCTCAAGGGGCTTATATCTATATAGTACTACAATACAGTGTTTCTCAAAAATAAGAAGCTAAGCCGTTTTCGGAATTGGACAGGGGTTGGTGACAGGGGTGCAGAGGTGCGGTAACAATAGTATTTTTATGGGATGGGAACAGGTTGGGGAGGTAGGGTAACCAAAGAAAAAAAAACCCGGTTTTCAAGGGATGGGTAACTACACCTTCTTGACCACAAATTTCATTCCCCACCATCTTTCAATTCAATTATCTTAACAAAAAGCATTCATACCTCACAATCATGTCTACTGCCAAATGCTCCCAATGCAAGCATGATAAAGCCATTGCGGAATATGATAGAAACCGCCGCGGTTCTCTTTTGAGATCATGTAGAGATTGTTTGGTATGTATCTCTGCAACAACCAATAGACACATTATTTGACAATTGGCAGAGAAGACAAGCGGAGATGAGACAAAGACGTGCTTCTTTGCGAGCCGGGCAAACAGTAGAAACATTAGAGGTATGTACTATAATACTTAAGAATTGCATCTTATAAATGCTTACAACTTCTGTTGATAGCTATCCCCACCCAGAGCTGTAAGACAAGAAATACGTTCTGCCTTTCCTTGCGCATTTCTCAATTCCCGTTTACAATGGAAAGAATTGAATATGGGCTCAATGACGATCGTTTGCGAGTCCTGTTCAGCTTTGCATTGGATTGATGAGCGAATTGCAGCAAGTTCAAAGATAAAGCCACGCTTTGAAATCTGTTGTAAAAAGGGAGATATTCAGCTGTTACCTTTGCAAGCACCACCTCCGTACTTACAATATCTTTTGCAGTCTCCTGATCCGGTTGCAAGAAGATTTCGGACCAGTATTCGTGAATACAATTCTGCACTCACGTTTACATCGGTAAAATATACTGCTGATCAACGGGCTCCAGCGCAAAGTGGTGGTTTGCAATGTTTTCAAATCCATGGAGAGCTTTACCATATACAAGGACCATGCATCAGCAAACTCTGCTATTCCTCAGGGCGCAGCGCCTACGCCCTGGGCGCCAGGCACGCCAGGCGCCGCCAGGGCAGAGTGCTCGCGCCAGGCGTCGCCACAGCAGGGTGCTCGCGCCAGGCGTCGCCACAGCAGGGTGCTCGCGCCAGGCGTCGCCACAGCAGGGTGCTCGCGCCAGGCGTCGCCACAGCAGGGTGCTCGCGCCAGGCGTCGCCACAGCAGGGTGCTCGCGCCAGGCGTCGCCACAGCAGGGTGCTCGCGCCAGGCGATCCTAGCATCCGCGCCCGACGCCCCCAGAGCAGTATGTTCTCTGTCTGGCAGCACCAGGGCGCATAATCGTCTATACACTCCGCCAGAGCGCAGTGCCAATCATCTGACCACGTCAGAGAAGAGAGCTTTTCACGACTGCAACTCGAGCACTCGCTCCAGCAGAGCACTCGATCCAAGCAGAGCACTCGCTCCAAGCAGTCCGCTGTCAGAGCAGCATATTCGTACTCCCTAATGAGCTTCTTTGCACTCGCTAATGCTACTGTCTACAGAGTACTCTGAGCGATATCACCTACATCCATAGAGCACCCAGCAATGCTCTCTCCGCAATCTTCTCTAGGCGCGTCGTGCACTTTCACGCGTCATGCACCTCCAGGCGATATGGTGCTCGTCCTGAGAGCACCCGGCGATGCTCTCTCCGCCATGACACGCCTGGGTATGCCTCCTGCGTCTGAAGAACGATCAACTAATGAGTTTCCGCCCAGGGACTGGCAACGAATCACGGACGTGTCGGGGCCCACCAGGAGACAGCGTCAGCGCCCTGACAGCACTCGTCAGTAATATCTGCGCCAGGAGATCAAATCACAACGAGCTGCTCGCCAGGCGCTGCCAGAGCATATCGCTCACGCCTAGAGAGCACTCGTCAGTACTATCTGCGCCAGGAGAGCATTCTCAACGAGCTGCTCGCCAGGCACCGCCAGAGCATATCGCCCACGCCAAGACACTCTTCGTCAATGAGTTTTTCCAGGCACTGCCAAGAGATATTGCTCACGTCTGGAGAGCACCACGAATGCTTCCATAGCACTGACCAATGCTCGTAGAGCTGCGGAAACATCTTTAATAATACTATTCAAGGTGGGACACCCCCCACTTAGACCCATATGAATCGATACGCTTTCTTCAAAGGCAAGGTAGGCATCGCCGGTCCCTCAAACGATATCTCACGTGGGTATTCTTCACGCCGCTGAACGGTCAGTCGCGGAATACTGATACGAGCACTGTCGTGTATACTGGAGATGGCTACCAAACCTTTGACGAACGTGTATGTATCTGTCGATTCGTGAAAGGCATAAGCCTTGAGGTTGAGGCCATGGTACGGCTCGTCTGAAAAGCTCAATGTCCATGCATAAGCAGCAAACATGGACTGGAAAAAGGTGCAGGATGACTTTACTGGTCGGAAGACCAATGCCTGCCTACCGCGCCCTCCTGGAGCTGGCTTGCTGGATAGTCAGACTCAGATACTGAGCGGCCGATACTCACCTCCCTCTTCCAATCCGCATGCGTACTAGCAGAACGACACGAATTTTGAATTAGACGGTCCTATTGGGTCTAACATTCCACTCGTAGAGCACTCGCCACTGCCCTCAGAGCATTCACTGAATAGCACCCGGTATTCCTCTCATATCACTGGATAGCACTCGGTATTCCTCTCATATCACTGGATAGCACTCGGTAATCCTCTCACATCACTAGATAGCACTCGGTAATCCTCTCACATCACTGGATAGCACTCGGTAATGCTCTCACTGGATAGCACCCGGTAAGCCTCTCACATCACTGCATAGCACTCGGTGATCCTCTCACATCACTGCATAGCACTCGGGAATGCTTTACAGCATTCAACTGAATTCATTCCACGTACGCAAATCTATCCTAGTATTTACCAGCCAATTGCCAGCATCCACCTCGAACAAATGGGCCATTCCTAATATACTCCGAATATTCACGACCCACATCCTCTTCCTCCTCCTCCTACAGACCTTCAGCAGCCCATGTGAGCTATCAGCGATACCACGATCCTTCGCCTCAAGCAGCTCAACTACACATAGTCTATGTGCGCGCCCTGTGCTATCCCGCACCTTGAACAGAGCCTCCACACGTCCTGGTAAGCGTCCCCGAAACACTCCCCACTGCTCTGAGGAACCTACCGATACCCATGCCCAATCCTTTCTTATTTTCCCCTTCCTAAAAGATGCTGTTCCCGTACACCTGATGTTGTGAACCTCGTATACGTCAGGCCTTTGGAAGATTGGTATCGGAACCTGCAAGCATGTGAAAACCTCCACCCGGCGCTCCAACATGCTCTCAGAGCTTCCGGCAAAGCTCTGAGAGCATCCCGCATCCTCGGCATACTCCTTTATCAGGCGATATAGCGTGAGATGGCTCATTTGCAGTCCGTCTGCCACGTTGAAAAGTCTTTCCGATTTCGCGGAGGGGTTGCAAAGACGCTTCAGGGGCAGTCCGCTTTCTACTATTGAGCGTTCATTTGGCGTTTTCTTGCGGTCCTCGATCTTGAAAATGTCGAGCAACTCCTTGAGGTTATCCCGATGGCTCCAGAGGATGTCGTCAGTGCTCTCAGAACCTCCGACGATGTCTTTCAGATTCAGAATTCGAATCTCTAACGCCAATCGCCTCCCTCCATAGTCCAGTATCTGCGTCGCAGCATCAACCTTGTTGGACGCTCTGTAAGCTTCTTTTACCTGCCGTACATGGGCAAGCTCGCTGACGTCCGTGGAGTATTGAGGAATGCTACCAAAGCGCTCAACGTGCTCCCGGTAGTGCATTAAGACGTGCAATTTGATGAAGTTGAAGTGCGATCTTTCCCGAATCTCCCGGATCTCCTCCAAGCCTCGCTGGGTGCTCTGGGAGCCACTAATTGCTTTCGTTCGATCTTGTAAAAATATGGCATTGCGACATCGGTTATGTATGGTAATTACTCATGTATAAGGGATGACTCATAGTTGGAACAAGGAGGCTTAGTGCTAGGATTATGTAATCAGGGGATCACGTGGTACTAAGAACTATCTGTATATAAGGAGCAACAAACTCCCATAGTTGTCGTTGGAACTCAGCGGCGCAATAGTATCTTCTTTGCACTATAAACATATTCCTCACAAAGGTCACGTGTTCAAACCCTCCTCAAGTCGTCTATTCTCCCACACTCCAATTCACAGGTTATGAGCCCGGGTTCTGCCAAATAGAATCCGCACTACACCATCGCCACCTCGCTTAACTCAACAACACTTCATACAACATCATGCCTTCAGGTGGAGAATCGTCATCCAGTGCTGCTGAGACTAAACCCTCAGAGACCACAGCCACCAGTAACATTCGTCTCAAGTTTGATGGACTCCCTAAACTACAAGGGCAATCCAACTATCAAACTTGGGCGAGTGCCTGGAGGATAACGTTCGACGCTGTAGACTGGTGGGAAGCGTTGAGCATCGAGAACCCTGACGAGAATGACACCGAACTCAGCAAAACCGAGATAAAGAAGGCTCGTAAACAAATGCACAGCCTTCTCATCTCTGCTGTATGCGAAGAAATACAACCAACAGTCGTCTCCGCCGAAAATGCATTCTACGCATGGAAGGCGCTCAAAGACCTCTACGATCGTGTCTCACCCAACACCACGATCACCCTCCTCAGCCGCGTCCTAGACACGAAGATGCAAGAAGGCGGATCACTGACCGAGCATCTCGCGACCTTCGATGCGAACTGGAATACTCTCAAGTCCAGATGCCAAAGCGCAGACCACAAACTCGCTCAGGCTCTCCTACCCCTCACCAAATCCAACGAAGCCATGGCGGCATTCCTCCTAAGTTCGCTACCCAAATCGATGAGCAACGTCGTCGACAACATCCAAACCAAACAGGATGTTACCTACGAAGACGTACGCCAACGACTACAGAACCTGGATGAGGTAGCCCCTCAAACAGGGAACAAGGTACTCCATACCAGGAGTACCACAAGCGACAAGGAATGCACCTGGTGCAAGAAAAGGGGACAGCCTTACAAAGGCCACGAGTACACGGAATGCAGAAAGCTCAAAGAACAGAACAAGAACAGAAAGGGAAGGAGAAAGGACAACTCGGCATCGGTTGTAGTAAATGACTCTACAACCACTATCTGTATGGTACGCCACAACAACTCCCAACCCCTTACTTGGATCCTTGATTCTGGAGCGACCTCTCACGTCACACCCTTCCAAGACCAACTCATCGACATCCGACCTCACACCGGCAACGTCCGAACAGCTGATGGAACCAACCACGCTGTCACCGGAATGGGAAGCGCTAGTTTCAGCTGCCACCTTCCCGATGGAAGTAGATCTTCCATACTCCTCACCGATGTGCTGTTGGTCCCAACCTTGGGAAATGTGGGATTGGTCTCCGAAACCGTGCTCGACAAAAAGGGATTTAGAACGGAGTCAGGAGGAGGAAGCAAGTTGGTTACAAAAGAAAAGAAAGGAATAATTTGGGCAAAATTGGAAAAGGGACTTTGGAATGTACAAGTAGTTTGCAATACAGTTCGTTTGACCTCTTACGATGAATGGCATCAAGCGTTAGGCCACCCTGCGACACTAGAAAACTTGTATCACGACATTCAAAGGCTGCCTCCTAAACCAGAAAGTTTCCACTGCAGTCAATGTGCACTATCAAAAAGCGTACATAAGAAACCTGCACCAATTAGTACTAGATCCAAACGACCATTCGAACTAATCCACTCAGATCTATCTGGAAAGTTCAGTATACAGTCACAAGGGAAAGCTCAGTACTATATGTCCTTCATCGATGATTACACCCGCTTCGCATGGATATATCTCCTGAAACAGAAAGAAGACGCAAAGAAGGCCATCAAGGACTACGTTACAAGGATCGAAAAACAGTATAGCACAACAATACTGAGATTCAGAACGGATGGTGGTGGTGAATACATCAACAAGGACATAACGAACTACTTCGATTCACAAGGAATAGTTCATGAACAGACTCCCCCATACACTCCTGAATCTAATGGAGTTGCAGAACGATTCAACAGGACGGTAACCACAATGGTCAGGTGCATGATCATGGACCATCCTAAGTCGTTATGGGGAGAAGCATACGCAACAGCTGTCTACCTCAAAAACAGGCTACCTCACAGTACGCTTAAGGGAAAGACCCCCTTTGAAGCCCTGAAAGGAACCAAGCCAAGTATACAACACCTTCAACCATTCGGCAAAAAATGCTACGTCCACATCCCAGAAAACTCTAGGACAGCAGGAAGCAAACTAGCACCCCGAGCGTATGAAGGAATCATAGTTGGATACTCAGACAGTGATAAAATATACCGTATCTGGATAGGAACACAACATAGGGTAATTGAAAGTCGGGACGTCACATTCCCCCCTCCTGAATCAGGGGAAGTCTCAGTGGAACTCGACTTCATCCCCAGCCTGAAACCAGAAACGGCAAATGCACCATCAGACGACGGATACGAATCAGAAGACAGGTCTGATCCAGAACCCGAGTCAAATGCAATCGAAGAGGACCGTACAGAAATGCCAGGATTGTTCCCGGAATCACCGGAACTGGTTAGAAAACCACCACCGGCTACACCAGACAAGGGAAAACAACCTGCCGTACCTATGGGACAACCGCGAGACCCAAGAGACAACTGGGAGAAAATTCCAGCACCAGTCGTACCATTCAAAGGCTTCAAAGGAAAACCACTTGTGTCAACGACACCCAAAGGTACACCACCACAACCTCCAAAACGATCAGATCGAATACGCCAGCGAAAAAATAGAGAAATTGAAATAGAAGTACGAAGGAAGGAGTATGACGAAAAGGTAGTAGAACAACAGAAGTTACTTACAAGTTATATCGAAGATGTGAAAGAAAATGGCCCAGGAAACAAAGCCACTGAACAAGAATTAATCGATCAATACAAAGAAGACTTCAGACGTTATAGGGCTGAGTTAGACACGGAATATCAAGACGTATCCAAACTCCCCCCGAACTACCATATACACCTCGTAACAGAACCTTCTACCTTCAATCAAGCTATGCAGAGCGACGATCAACACCTATGGAAAAAGGCGATACAAACTGAGAAAGACGCCCTTGACAAAGCCCATACCTGGGATATTGTCAACAGACCATCCAACCGAGCAGTAGTCAAAGGAAAATGGGTATTCAAAGTGAAACACAACGCGGACGGAACAATCGAGCGGTACAAAGCAAGGTACGTTGCTAAAGGCTTCACCCAAGTACAGTACCAAGACTACGATGAGACCTTCGCCCCCGTTGCACGATATGATTCTCTACGGCTCCTACTGGCACTAGCTGCACACAACGGTTGGATACCACAACAAATGGACGTCAAGTCAGCCTTCCTGTATGGTGTACTCAAGGAGGAAATCTACATGGAACTGCCTGAAGGCTACAGGCAGGACAACAAGGTTTGTAAACTTCGAAAATGCATATACGGACTAAAGCAATCACCCCGTGAATGGTATGCTTGCCTAGCAGACTCCCTTCAACGGAAAGGATTCGTCCCAGCCAAATTCGACCCATGTGTCTTCATACATAAGAACCACCATCTATACATATCGGTGTATGTAGATGACATCATGATATTCGGACCCGACTCCCCATTCAGAAAAGAAATCAGACAACTACTCAAGGCAGATTTCGAATGTACGGATCTCGGTAACTCGAAGTTCATATTGGGAATAGAAATAACGGTAACCAACAACGGTATCACACTATCACAACGCGCATACATCAATAAGATCCTGGATAAATTTGGAATGAGTAACTGCAAACCAGTTGGTACACCACTCGAACCGAACCTTAACCTTCACAAAGGCGAACCGGAAGACCAAATCGAGAAACCAACTGAGTACCAATCCATAATAGGATCACTGATGTACGCAAGTATAGCTACCAGACCTGATATCACCCATGCCGTTACCGCTCTCTCCCAGTACTCCTCATGTCCAACCGAGGACCACCTACGAGCAGCCAAGCGAACTCTCCGATACCTCAACGGAACCAAAGACTGGAACCTGTTCTACCCGAAGGGGAATACTAGAACACTCGACGGATTCTCAGACAGTTCCTATGCTTCAGACCTAGATGACAGAAAATCGTTCTCAGGATACGTGTTCAGACTAGGGAAGTCAGCCATCAGCTGGAGAAGCCGGAAGCAGAAATCAGTCGCAGTCTCAACAACAGAAGCCGAATACATGGCCCTGTCCCTCGCAGCTCGACAACTGGTATGGATTCGTAATGCCTTGCACGAACTCCAACAACAATACCAGTACTTCATACACGCCGACAACACAGGTTCTATTGAACTCTGTCGGAACCCACGTATCCACGACCGGTCCAAGCATATCGACGTTCACTACCACTACACACGTGAACAACTCGAGGCCGGAACTTTCGAAATCCTCTACGTCCCTACCGAAGACAATGTCGCAGACATAATGACCAAAGGACTACCAAAACCAGCTCACCAAAAATTGTCAGAATTGATACGATGTGGCAAGTGAGGGGAAGTGTAAAAATATGGCATTGCGACATCGGTTATGTATGGTAATTACTCATGTATAAGGGATGACTCATAGTTGGAACAAGGAGGCTTAGTGCTAGGATTATGTAATCAGGGGATCACGTGGTACTAAGAACTATCTGTATATAAGGAGCAACAAACTCCCATAGTTGTCGTTGGAACTCAGCGGCGCAATAGTATCTTCTTTGCACTATAAACATATTCCTCACAAAGGTCACGTGTTCAAACCCTCCTCAAGTCGTCTATTCTCCCACACTCCAATTCACAGATCTCTCGCATCCTTTAACGTCTTCTTGTACGCCCTGAATTCTAAAAAGATATCCTTGTGTTTATGGAAATCCTCGAGATAGCTCTCCATATATTCCAGTGTGCTCGTTGTATGACTCCCATATTGCGCCATTAAGTGGAAGTCTATTAGGCTTCGAACGCATTTCAAAGCTTTTGCGAAGTCGCTCCTGACAGCCACTCCCGGGTTTCTCAGAGCAGCCGCGAGTGCTCCTAGAACGACCCGCCCCAGATTCCGCATCTCTTTCCCTTGCCATTGGGTGGTAGAACGATATGCCTTGTTTGGTACTGCTAGTCCAGGGTAAGGCGCAATCGAAGCCCAAGCTTTGTCGAATTCCTCCAATCGATGATGCTTCTTCAAGAAACCCTGAATCCACTCCATCATGTGCTTCAACATCCCCAGGTAAATATTGTGCAGTATGTCCGGTTTATTGAGATCGTACGGATTAACCCTCGGCATACCCCAGAAAGCATTGAAGAGTGTTTTGACGGATCTCGCAACAAGGTATTCTACCGGTTCTAGATTGCCCGGGTTCTCGCCAAATAGCTGTACCCTCTCCCTGTAGTCCTCGTGATTGCACACAGAGCTTCGACGAGTGCTCCCAAGATTGTGAAACTCCACCTCGCATGTCGGGCAAGCACTAGTGCTAATGTTTTGCAAGTTTGAATGCTCGGGTTGATCGGCGATCCAGCCCGAGAGCACCGGAAAGCATAGTCGTTCGTAGCCGTCGGCGCATTTGATTAGCTCGCCCTCCTGAGAGCACTCGCGAATGCTTCGAAAGATCTCCCCAAGGGCACGATACAGTGCCATTTGACTCTGACGTCTTAAAACGGAGTTAACGAGTGTTGTATTCTTTCCGAGCTTCGGTGGCACTGGTAGCAGCCCTAGGAGAATGAATGAATGCCCTGTGGGCTTGTTGCGCACCGATGACTTGATGTTCCCGATGGTAAGATAGATTGGCCAGGCTTTCTTGTCCCCGCTGAAATTTGTCAGATGTGTGCCATCCGACGCGCAGATAATTGGTACGACAGTGGACCCCTCCGGTAACGTATTCTGTCGAGAAGACATTAGCGACTGCTCCTGTAGCATCATCGACTGCTCATAGAGCACCTCAAGTGGACAGGGTGAAGTTTACGGACCTGTATCTCCCACCACCAATCTCCTGTATGCATTTCCCCGTACATTCCCTCGCCGAATTCATTATGCTCCACCACGGGCGAATACACCAATCACTCCCGGAAGGCACGTTGCCCTAGAAGATATCGGACGACTACCATTGGATCCCGGTAGTAGTAAGAGATCTTCTCCCCCCCAATATCCACCTCCGAATGATTCCAGCTCGCCTTTCCCAGTATATCGTTCATTTCCTCCAACCTCTTGATAAAACCCCGCCCAGTGCTGTAGGAGCACTCGCCACTACTCGGCGGAGCGTGTAGAAAGAAGCTGTCGATGTTCCCCTGTGAGGCTTTGGACAGTGTGAAATAGCGTGCTATTCTGAACTCGTATGCTGACCGGAATGGGTGCCATGGGTATTGGAGAAGGCTCTGTGAGCACTCGTCGTAGTCCTCCGAGCGGTAAAGTGGCTCCCCAGCACCCTCGTAAACTGTCGTAGATGCCCTACTATGCCCATTTGAATCGCCATCTGCCTCTTCCATCACGAAATATGATTCGGATTCGAGGTCCGAATTGTTACCCGAATCTTGGTCGAAAATGTCCGACTCTGAATCGTAATGCGTGTCTGAATAGTAATCGGGAATGCTCTCTGGGCTCTCGTCAGTGTTGTCGGGGGTCTCTGCAGGTTGATCGTGCTCCAGCAGTGAATATTGATTTCCCAGCCATTCATCTGCTTCCAAAGGATGGATCGTTCGAAGATGTCTGTCAAAATTCGCGGAGGAGCTGTACCTCTTGCTGCAAAAAGGGCAAGACGATTTCATTGGACTCGAGAATTTGCAGTCTGCCAAGGCGGAGGCTCTTTCCTGCAGGCGGTGCAGAGTGCTCTACGAACGATTTGTCATCCAATGAGGCTCTCGCCGCCAAGCGGTTGTGCAGAGTGCTCTACAGAGTGCTCGCTGCAGAGCGCTCGCCAAGTGATTGTGAGCCTTGCGCTCGCACCTCCACCATAGCGAGGCTGATTTTGACGTCATACATCTCCAACGGAATAATGCAAACACAAACACAAGCATACAACGAGAAGAAACAACAATCACCACAATCATGCCGCCAACGATGCTCCGTTCTACCCTCTCAGCATTCGCTCTCTCTCTCTGAGCACTCGCGGATGCTATTCAGATCATGGAGAGACCATTCTCACCGCCAAATTCGATACTAATATCGGATATGCGCTCAGAGTATACACACTCTCCGACTCAGCTTCATAGCGCACAGAGCCCCGACACCAACAAGAACACAAACACCAACCCAACATAGGAATCCAATCGACACCACTGTTGGTACTACCGTCAGAGCATTCCCGAGTACGCCTAGAGCATTCATCTACGTCATTCAATTGAATCAAACCTCCAGAGTAGAATCTTCGAGTGCGCCTAGAGCATTGATCTACGTCATGTATTGGAGCAAACATTCAGCACGGCTTGGAGCACCATATGCAGCACTGGTGGGAGCACCCGGGGGTGCTCGTACAGCACCCGAGGATGCTCGTACAGCACCCGAGGATGCTCGTATAGCACACGGGGGTGCTCTCGGAAGCATGATGAGCCCTGGAATAGCTGATTGTATTCGGTATAAGAGCACCCTTCTCCTCCTTCCAGATCGTGAGAGCTTCCTAACCATCTTCCAGCGCTACCTATCACTTCAAGCCCCTCCCTGCTATCTAAGCTTTCAAGATACCTCTTGAAAGCGCATTCAGCTCACGTTTCAAGTTTAGGCTTCAACTTGAAGTTTCAAGTTTCGTTTCAAGTTCAAGCTTTCAAGCTGCACACCTAGCGATCATATATAAGATGGTATATCCTCCTTAATCCTATTGCTTTCAGAACCATACTCATCACATATTCACTATAGCCTTCATCCTCCCCTCAGGGCACTCCAGAGCGCTCACAGAAGAAGCGAGATCGCGATCCAGACACCGACGAATCAGATAGCAAAAAACGCCGAAGGAAGGAAAGGAAGGAGAAGAAGAAGGAGAAGAAGAAGGAGAAGAAGGAGAAGAAGAAGGAGCAGAAGAAGAACGAGAAGTCCTCCCCTTCCTCGTCTCGCAAAGAGCAGAAAAGCCTCCAGCCTATCCCAGAAGAGATAGAAGAGACACCCCCGCCGCAGTCGTCGTCTTCCCGGAAGCATCCCCGAGTGGTTTCAAGCTCCCGACAGCACTCGTCACCGCCCCCTCAGCACTCGTCACCGCCCACTCGGCACTCGAGACTCTTCCCAAAAGAGTGGGAATCAGTGCAATCTGAAGCCGAGTCCGACAGCGAACGTTCCGCAGCAGGCACAGCAGCAGGCCCAGCAGGCCCAGCAGGCCCAGCAACACACTCCGCAAAGCGACCAGCAGCAGGGACAGCAGCAGGCCCAAAACCCCAAGGAGGACGAGCACTTCAACGAGTCTCCAGCACTTCCCCAGAATTGGGCAGCTCGCCGCCACAACCGTCGGCCCCTGTCCGTAGAACCGTACTCCCAGTTGGTGCCCCTGCTCCAGAAGCAGTCGCCAGTGCTTCACAGAGCTCTCAATCCCGACGTCGCCGTCGGCTACCAATACCTAGTTCCCCTCCACCGGCAGAGCAGAGGCAAAGCCGCAGAGATCGTGCCCCAGAAACTCCCTCGCGTGCTCAGGTAACATACGCCAGTGCTCCAGAAGCATCATCCCCAATCTCTCAAGCCCGATACCCCGGCAGAATGACTGAGGCAAACAAAGCAAAGATGGCTTTAGGTTTGATCAACCTCCCTAAATTGTACACTAACATCCGCAACAGCCTCAAAGCGGAGATGCAGAACACCGGTTGGGTCAACAAAACCGTTTCCGGAGCAGCAGCGTTCGATGCTCTATGCCTCCATGTGTTGAACATACGCCCTCTCCGTGGTTTCCTGCCTATGTGGAACGGAGGCGATTCCGCAACCCGCAGAGCACTCGCGGACGCTTTGAAGTGGCTCATCGGTGATGTTGGGCAGAAGGAAAAGCTATCGAGGGGGCAGGGAAATCGCGAGTATAAAGAAGTTGCTGACGATAGCGATGATGATGAGGACGGTGGTCTGCCCGCCCAACGCTCTAAGAAGCGTAAACGGGACCCAGTGTCCGCAGATCTCGATAGACCTTCCATAATGGTTACGGTGGTAGACCCGGATGCTCTAGGAGCATTCTCCAGGGTTGCCCCGCCCCCTATCTATGACTGGAACCATCGACGAAATCAGAATTCGTTCATTGGAGTTCTGACCAAGATAACGTTTCCAGGGCTCTGCAATTTGATCCTGAAGCACACCCCACCCGGCAGAGCAATCAGGAGTATCTGGGGAGCACTCGATAACGTTCCACCGGCATCCAATCCTCCTGTTCGGCCGATGGAGGTGCAGATCACTGATTCGGAAGAGGTCGAGGGTTGGTTGAAGAATAGCGTTGGCAGACCTCGGAGGATACTGGCGGTACTCCACAGAGCGGGCGCGGGTGCTAATTTGGGTGGTGCTGAAACACCGCCGCTGACACGAGCATTCCCTCATATCGAGGAAGACGATTACACCACGATCGATATTCCAGCAGAGGACTCTGATTACGAGGAGGGAAATCACCGCATAAATGCTAAAGGACTGAGGGTATATTTGCCCAGAACTGATGCCAGTAATCAAAGGCTAATCCAGACTCTTGTTAGACGTCGCGATAGACAGCAGGATGCTATCGACGACTTAGACCCCAAATACCTGAGGAAGTATCCTCTGGGTGTAGGGGTTGCTGACGCAAACTTTGCACAGGGAGTAATCTGGACGCCTGCCGGGATAGCAGCCAAGAGAGCTGCTGACGCACTCGCGGCTGCTGCTGGAGGCGGTGGTGGTGGTGGTGGTGGTGGTGGCAATCCTCCTCCGGGCGGTGGTGGTGGTGGTGGTGGTGGTGGTGGTAATCCTCCTCCGGGCGGCGGTGGTGGTGGTGGTGGTGGTGGTAATCCTCCTCCGGGCGGACCTCCTCCTCCTCCTCCTCCTCCTCCTCCTCCTCCTCCTCCTCCTCCTCCTCCTCCTCCGGGCGGACCTCCGGGCGGTGGTGGTGGTGGTGGTGGTGGTGGACCTTCTGGAGGCGGTGGTGGAGGCGGTGGTGGTGGTGGTGGTGGAGGTGGTGGGCCAGCTGGAGGCGGTGGAGGCGGTGGTGGTGGTGATGGTGGTGGGCATCATTAGTCTCCTTTGGTATAGTCTCTCACCACTCTTCCTGCGGATTTCTCACTACTAACCTTTGAAAAGCTGTACAGATTGCTCTCTGAGCACTCGCGACTGCTACTGAGATGGAGGAGGTGCGGTACGATTTTATGTTTTGGATTTCCTTTGTCTTGCGAGCATATATGAATTGATGGGTTTTTGAATAGCAATATGGAGTGCTCTCTGAGCACTCGCGAGTGCTACTGAGATGGAGGTGCTGTACGATTTGATGTTTTGGATTTCCTTTGTCTTGCGAGCATATATCAATGGATGTGTTTTGTCGTATTAGATGAGATTAGATGAGATTAGATGAGATTAGATTAGATTAGATTATTCCGTGTCGTAATTGCATTGCTTTTATTTCAGAGTCGAGTCAAACTCCTAGATTGCTCTCAGAGCACTCGGTATTGCTTCAGAAAGTGCAAAGTGCAGTAAAACGAGTGATTACAAATGATGCGGTTGAGCGGATCCCTGCCGTAGGAGGATTAGCCGTGCAAATTCTTCTTGATTAGCGGCGCAAATTTTCTCGCCAAGAATTGATTTCTAATCAAAGATACCGCGAGTGCTCCTAGAGCACTGAGGATATTCCTGCTAGCCATCAGAATGGCTCCCACCAAGCGCTCCTCCGGTTCAGCACCTCTTGCCCCAAAGCGCCCACGACTCCCAAGACGACCTGAAGAACATGAAGATTTACTGACTGACGAGTCTGAGATACCTTGCCGACCATTGACTCCACTGCCAGCCCGCACTCGGAGTAGTCAGTCGACAACCGCCCCAATAGCGCGTAAAGGGCTTCTGTGTTCTACCGACACATCCACTGGAAGAAGCAGCCCTAGAAGGGTAGAATTCCATCTCCCCGATGGCAATACTGACAGCGTTGAAGTGCAGGAGCATCAGGAGGATGTGCCAGAGGTGGAGGAAACCGCCGATACCAGCCACTCGGAGTATGATGACTCCCCAGAGAACGCCCAGGAGAGCTCTGAGGAGAACCTGGACGACCCGGAGGAGTCGGAAGAACCTCAAGCCTCCACTCAGCAGAGATCCCAGAGTACGGGGAAGAGGCCTCGTACAGTGCAGCCGACTACTGCCAGAGCACTGGGCAATGCTCGGAGGAGACCAACCGGAGCGGTAGCGGAGGTTATTGCTTCCTCCGACGTGTCGGTGGATGTGGTACAGGTTCGACTCCATCCCACCCATTAATGTTAAGGACAAAACGCTAACGATTTAGAGGGGAGCACGTCCGGGTGCAAAGGTAGTACGGAGAGCAGCTCCCACTTCGGCACCCAGCCAGAATGCATCCCAGAGAGCACCGCCAATACCCACACAGTCTAGGCCTTCTGAACCTGTTTATTATCATGATTACAGCTCTTCGACGCGCCATATCGATCTTTCCTCATTGCGCTCTCGATACGGGGAGTCCTCACCTACTTACCGCCCCTATCGTTCCTCCCCGCCTTTTGAGGGCGTTGGCGAGAGCTCTATGAGCAGTCCCCGGATTCCCTCAAGCCCTCAGGTATATTTACCAGAAGCGCAACCAAGAGTCTACGATATTGCACAGCTTTCGTCGTCTATTAGGGAAGGAAATGCTCCTATAGCAGAAAGCGAGGTTAGTAGTATTCCCGATAGCACTGACGACCGCTTTGAGAGCACTGTTAACATTCATGCGAGCAACCTATCTCAGAGATCCTTGTTACCTAGCTCGAGGAGTGCAAACGTTCTCTCAATGCAGGCTCAGAGGATTGAGAAGGAGTGCAGCACGCTAATCGGGGACCACACTCTTCTACATGAGCCTTTTCCACCTGCAGCGAGGCTTTCGGTACTGGTAGTGAACATGTGGGCAGCTGCCAGTCGCAGGGTGGGATGTGCGGTAGATCTGGACGAGGTCGTTATCAAACAGGTGAATGCCCTTGAAACGTTGACGAGTGCTCTGGAAGCGTAATTGACAACGATAGGTCAGAAGTCTACACTCCCGAGTCCGTTCGCACTTGATGCACGAGGTTAAAGGGCGCCTGGCGGATTCGACCATCTATGGGCTTGGAAAGCTCTCGAGTCCTGAGGCGAGGGCTGCTCAAGTAGAGTATCTTTTAAAGAATGATCGCTTCTTGAGCCCTGCGCAGCATTACGAGGTATGATCAATCCCTAGAGAGCACCCGGGGGTGCTAAGAGAGCACTCGGGTGTCAATGACCAGAGAGCACTCGGGTGTCAATGCTCGGAGAGCACCCGGACACCCGGAATGCTTGGAGAGCACTCGCGAACGCTGCTAACAGATACTAGACCTACCGTCTACGGTTTCTTGCGCCAGAGATTATCGACATATTGTACTATAAATACTTTGATGGGGTCAGGATGCGAGGGGTAAAAGACCCCGAGTTCCTAGAGCGGATTACCCCTACATTTATTTGCCTGATATCCACTGCAATTTGGCATGGCATTCGGGCATGGTCAACGGGAACATACGTGAAGCCTGACCATTTCCAGTCACAGAATGAGAGTGTTGTCAGTAAGCATCCCTGATCCCCTTACAGCTATAGCGAGTGCTTTGAGAGCAGTAACAGATGCTCCCAGAGCTATAGTGGATTCGCGCGCTGACATTGCACACGAGTAGAAACGTTCAACAGGATGAGCAACACATGGAAGGGGAGGAGTAGGCAGAATCAGGAGGCAACGTTGGAGGTGATCAAGGATAACCTCCGGGAGAAGGTATGCTATAGATGGGTGCTACAATGGCGGAGCGCTCTTCTGCATACGGAGGCTAACCTTGATAGATACGAGAGAAGAAGGGTATCACTATTGAGGTGATACCGGAAGATGGATTTAGCGAGGACGACGAAGCGTTAGCGGCGGATCTTGCGGCATTCCGGAATGCTCGGAGAGCACCCCCGAGTGCTCCAGGGGATATCTCCGACAACGGTGGCGGCCAGGAAGAGGTGGTTCAGGCTCAACTTCGGGGCATTGAAGCGGAAGAGGAAGGCGAGGAGGATGAAGATGAGGATCGCGAGGGAGGGGAGGAGGAAAAGGATCTGTAGGGCACCGGCGAGTGCTTTGGAGCGCAATGGCGAGTGCTTTGGAGAGCAGCGGCGAGTGCTTTGGAGAGATACCTATATACCTGTATTATATTCGATTGGCGATTTCAAGACGCTTGTAGTGTTAGTATTTAGTAATAGAATCACGGTTTTGGATGCTCTGCAAAGCAGTGCCTACTAAAGCAAAGAGTAGTATGCCTGGTAAAAACATGGCGCTGAAAGGTAAAATGCGGTGCGTCGGGCGCCGCTGGAGCAGTCGGGAGTGCTCCAGAAGCATTAGTGATATGCCCAGGAGTCGTCAGAGAGGTTCAGGAGCGGACAAAACGCTTCCTGAGGCGTCGCGAGAGCTCCAGGAGCGTCCAGGAGATAGGTAGTAGTCTCAGGCGAGAGAACATTCCGTCGAGAGAGCGTCAGGCGAGAGAGCATTGCGTCGGGGTAAGCGTATCACTGTCGGGGCGCGTTGGGAGGGCTAGTGCGCGCCAGGGCGCGCGAGTAGCCTAGTGCGCACCAGGGCGGAATGCTAAGCGCCAGGGAGCGCCAGGAACGCTCTGCTGCTTCTCTGGAGAGGCAGTTTGTCTACCGAGCGCCCTGGGCGCCTCGAGCGTCCAGAGCGTCTGGCGGAGGTTGCGGGTTTGCTGATGATTGCATCCACAACAGAACGCCTCACCAAGCTTTGCACAGCTATATTTTTACGAACCTGAGTATGCAGCTGGTGTACGACATGAGGCACATCCCAACCTTGATCTTACCATATTGCAGAGACTTAACTCGAAAACAATTTCCTGTAAGATTGTGTTTTGCAATGACAGTAAATAAGGCACAGGGACAATCAGTTGACATTGTAGGGATCGATTTACGAACTTCATCTTTTACCCATGGACAATTGTATGTTGCTTTGTCAAGGGCAACAGACGTCAATAAGTCACGAATCTTGCAAACAGAGGAGAGGGGTAGGGAAACTGAGAACATAGTGTATCCGGAGGTACTGTTGAGGGGATGAGAGTTGCACATTATAGAATACCCCTTACTGTCTTATATCTTTCAATTGCAGTGAGTTACGGCATTTATTACACTGTTGCAGGAACAAATCAAAGCTTACAATCACATACAACTCCTTGCATAAACTTGCAGAAAAGAAATATCAATTGTAATCAGCTGTAAGATAGTTGCGAGAGTTGCAAACACAAACTTTCTATTGTTAAAGCTATTGGAAATGTTTCTAACTAACTTAGAGTCTGATTACATTTAATCTTCCATTTCGTCCATGATATCCTCAATTGCATCAGCCACTCCCTCCACCGCTATCAAAAGCCTCCGCCATTTTTCCTTGGTAGTGGACCGCTTCCTCTTTGCAACTCTCCTATGCCTGTCTGCACCCTCCGCAGTAACTGTAGAAGAGCTTGCAATGGGTGCAGAGCGTTCGCGAGGTTTAATTTCTGTTGTATATGTTTGTAAGTCACTGTAAACACATTGTAAGACATTGTAGGAATTGTAGATTACATACCAGGACGAAAATTGCAATATTTGCTTTGGCTATTGTAGTGGCAATTGGTGCAACTACCTGCAAACATACCCTGTACAGTTACACATTCAATAAAAGGGCCCTTACCGTCAGTACAACAGTCACAAACTGCCTCTGCAAATTCACCCCTGCTGTATCCCGATATAGCCTCAACATTAACTGGCCTTGCCATATTAGGACCCCTGTCTTCCTTAACCATAACAGGTCTAATCCAATCCATACTAGCCAATTTTTTAGCAGTAGCAGTATTGGTAACACCACCCATTACTAATGCCTCAGCAGCTGACTCATGATACTGAATGGGGCGGGTTTCGGAAGGCTTGGCACCAAGCCTTCCGGATTCGGAAATCTTGGCAGCAGGGGTGCCGGAATCGGAAGGCTTGGCAATCGGCTCGGCGGTATCGGAAGGCTTGGCAGCAGGGGTACCAGAAGAAGAAAGCTCGGCAGCTGGCTCGTCGATATCGGCTTGCTTGGCAGCAGGGGTACCGGAAGCAGAAGGCTCGGCAGCTGGCTCGACGGTATCGGCTTGCTTGGCAGCTGGCTTGGCAGGAAGCTCAGCGGTTTTAGAACTCTCGGCGCTCTTAGAAGTCTTGGCAGCTGGGGTGCGCTTGGCGGGAGGCTTAGCAGTAGGCTTGGCGGTGGCGGCAGGGGTGCCAGAATCAAAAGGCTTGGGAACCGGCTCGGCGATTTCGGTAGGCTTGGCGGTTTCGGAAGACTTGGCAGAAAGTTCTGCGGTTTTAGAACTCTCGGCGGTTTTGGAAGCCTTGGTAGCCCGTGTGCGCTTGGCTGGAGGCTTGGCAGCTGGGGTGCGCTTGGCACGAGGCTTGGCAGGATGTTTGACGGTTTTATTGCTCTTTGTAGACATGATGGGGGTAGTAGTAGTAGACATTGTTTGTGGATGGTGAATTGTTTGTTGATGACGATGAATGAAGTGGATAAGAGAAATTTTCTGGCTCTATTTATTCATCATTGGAGCAACAGTAACCCGCCCAACTTGAAGTTGCAGCAGTAACCCGCCCACTGGCATGTTTCCAGAACCCTCCTTCGCGGTCGCGAAGTGGCCACTGCTAGTCTAATATGTACTACGATAGAGCAGTTTCGCGCTCGGTTGAACCCTGACCCTGATATCTGCGTGGCAACCAATCCGCCCCACCAAATCGCCCGGGGTCAACCAACAGCGGCCAATGCCCAGTCAATCAAAACAAAATGTAGGAGTATTAAATTATATCTTAATAATTAAATTATATCTTAATAATTAAATTATATCTTAATAAATAAATGTGCTATCTACTATCTTCTATAGTGTACCTACTGGAATACACTTTAAGGGGTACTTTGGTACATGTATCTTTGGTGAGGTTCCCCGCTGGCACGCCGGCCCATAACCCTAACCCTGACCTCTTTTGGCAACCAATCCGCCCCACCCAGGGCGGTAAACACCCGGATCAACACCTAGGCCGGTCAACACCCAGTCAACAGCTGAGCCCATTCAATTAAAACAAAATGTTGGAATACTATAAATAGGGACTGCCCCCCCCCCCATCCCACAATCTTTTAAAACAATTCTGATCAACAAAAAACAACAATGAATTCCATAACGTGCCGTAAATGCAAACGGGAGAAACCTCTTGAAGATTACTATCAGGATAATCAAGGAGAACCACGTAAATCATGTCGTACATGTTTGGTATGTATTGTTGAATCTTTCCGGGTGACAGTTATACTTTGCTCTAACAAATTGTATAGCAACTAGAGAGAGAACGAAGAACAGCACGTAGAGCCGCAAGATTAATGGAGGAAGAAAATAATATAGAGGTATTACGATTTTGGTTATTGAATATTTTTTCGGATGGTTTCTAACAGTAATCCAGCTCCGTCCGGTTTTACCAGTTGTAGCCCCCTCTCAAATGGCATTTCTATCTTCCCGAACAAAATGGTCACTATTAATACTTGGGCGTATGACAATTATTTGCCAATCATGCAAAGCTTTGCATTGGCTAAATGAACGTTCAAGCAGCACCGGGAGCTCAATTCAAACACCAATCTTTGAGAATTGTTGCAAGAAGGGAGATGTTGTACTTGAAATTCTTAAACCCCCTTCTGATTATCTGAAGTACCTGTTGGAATCTTTAGAAACTGTCCCAAGAAACTTCCGGAAACATATACGGGAATATAATTCAGCACTTACGTTTACCTCAGTCAAATACAATACGGATACAAGAGTTGGCGCAAATGGCGGTGGTATAAGTTGCTTCCAAATTCATGGTGAATTATATCATCTTCAGGCACCATTGGTACCAGCAATCGGAGCAACTCCTTCCTTCGCCCAACTATATTTCTACGATACAGAATATTCGGCCCAAGTACGACATACAATACATCCAACTTTAGATATTATGGTACTTCAACGTCTCACCATGGAGTTAAATTCAATAAATCCGTTTATTGAATTTTATAAAACAGCAAAAGAAAAATTGGATAATGCTTCAACATAAGATGGGAATGCACGCGTCATACTTAATCCACGTCTTCAATTGATAGTTGAAACAGGAGCAGATAAACAATGAAACAACTTACCTACAAGTAACGAGGTGGCGGTAATAATTCCCGATGAATATGAAGAAGCTGGATTCCGTGATATCGTATTGGCTCATAGAAATCCATTGCCAAATCAAATGTTCAGTATCATCAATCCTAACCATGCTGCGTATATGCCATTGCATTACGTATTGCTTTTTCCAAATGGGGATACCGGTTGGCATTGGAGTTTACAACTTCGAGATCAGTTGAATAATCGGAAAGTATTGCGTTTAAGTCAACGTGAATTTTATCGGTATGTTTAATATATTATCATAGAAATCATTACTAACTTATTACAAAGCTATCGTATTCATTCACGTTCAACCGAGCCTTTAACACAATTTCAATCTCAAAAGCTTTTTCAGCAATATTTGGTTGACGCATGGGCTGTATATGATCAGAACAAACTAAATTGGATACGTTTGAATCAATCAAGACTCCAATCCGATTTGTATAATGGCCTGGCCGATGCTATACTTCAAGAAGACTTCAATCCAGCACAAACCGGACGGAGAATAATACTTCCCAGCAGCTATAGCAGTGGTGATCGTTATATGCAACAATTATACCAGGATTAAATGGCTATCGTAAGACACTTCGGAAGACCTTCACTTTTCATCACATTTACAGCGAATTCTAAATGGTCGGAAATCGTTGCAGAGTTACTTCTAGGTCAAACAGCTGTCGATCGTCCAGATCAAGCACTTCGACATATGTCAGACATTTAAACCACTACACTAGGTAGCAATAGCTATGCAATATAATTCCGGAAGTTTATATTAAAGCAAACTCAATTAAATTACACATACTTTCAGCTCACTGGCACTGGCATCGGTACTGTAAAAACCGGACTCACCACACCCACCCGCCCTTCCCAAAATTTGATCAAATTCAAGCTCACACTTCGCCCTGGCGAGGTGGCCAACTGTTAGTATGCATGTATCTCATTATAAAACGCGCATACCTCTACGGTTCTTGACGGTCTAGTCTCATAGATTGAGATGATTCGGGAATCTTTGAAAGAAAAACGCGAGCAGAATCGTGTATGGAGTGAGGACAGAAACTGAGACTCTTCTCTCAGATCGTAGACCAGCTTCTGGTTTGGCTGACCTTTGACCAGCAGTTTCAACTGGTCAATGTTCATGCCCCGATTTGGGACACCGAGGAAGATGCAAGCATACACGGCGCGGAATATCTGCCCATCATCCCCACTACCTTTGGACGCTTCGGCAAGAGCCTATATGTATTACCATCTTCTTTAGCTTTGACAATTGCAAGTTTCGGAAGTGAAAAACGATCAAGCAACATCATGAGCACTCACCATCTTGACGATAAGGCCACCGAGGCTATGAGCAACAAAGATTATGGGCCTTCTGTCCTCCTAATGCCTAATGAAACCTGATTTCGAGCTGTATAATTGGGCATTAGCTAGGTATACTAACATTTGGCAACCGCCGAGCGTTTCGGATTGCTTCTAGGAAAGTTCGGGAAAACTCGAGTAAACCAGCAGTTGACCTACTATCAAAGAGTTTGGAGTCGTAGCCATAGATGAATACTGGAGGAGGTAGTGGGAGATCGTGATTGAGATCTTCCACTAGTATATCCCGTATCCACATCGTATTCTTTCCTGACGCTTTCCATGATCCAAAGGCATGATCAGCGAGACCAGTGATAAATATAAGACTGCGGGTGAGATCAGCGGCATGTAAACAGAATCAAAGGACTGGCCGAAGTTATCAGCTTACGCTACGTCACAAGTCTCATCACTATCGTTCAGCCGGGTTAAGCCGATGAAATGCGAATCGATCGTAACTTCAAAGGGAGGGGCACCCTCGAACCCCATGCTAAGCGATTCGGAGAGATTGCTTCCGAAACAGTGAAATGCTGACCCCCCAGAAAAAAGCAAGTTTTGTGTAGCTTTACTAACAGATCTTGTTATCTCTCTTATCAAATAATAGATCTCCTATACAAATTTAATTCCTCTATTATAGGGGGGTCAGCATTGACGGACCATGGGATAGTGAACTCTGGAATCCTATTGACTCACTACATGCATATTGCGGCCGGAGGTCGCACTACACTTGTATCTCTTTAATGGATAATCGGACACTGAAACAAACACCACCATTAGATTCTAAGCAACATTTTGGTATATGAGAAATGTGTTTACCACTCCATATGTTCTCTCTTGACTACCGCCAAAACTCGAAAAATTGGCTATCTCCGCCCCAGGATTCTGGGGACGCCTTGCATGCTGGGAGTTAATTTTGGGCGAAACCGAGTGATTCCTCATGGTTGTTGGCACTCCCAACATGAGTTTAATTTAGAAGTTGTTGGTTTCAGATTGCAAGGATAAAAAGATGTAGTTTGACCTCGGTTTGTTGTGTTGGTAACAAAATGAACATTGCCGTTTGCTTAATTTTTCCGTTTGACTCGGAGGATCCGATGTAAAAGAATGATCAGGAATGCGACTACAATGCCTAACACGGTACTACAACGATTGACTGACAGTAAAGTCAATAGCAATTGTCAATCTCTTACCACTCAGGTTGCTATTGCACGGTGCACTAGAGGGGGTCCTAAACCAAAAGCCATCAAGGACCGTACCCTCATTTTGAAAGCAATTAAGCGAGCAGAAAGGACATGGAGTCAAGGACAAAAAATACGGGTCCTAGTATTTCTTTTCCACCACCGAATACCTGTAAACACTGAAAAAGAATCATATCTACGGCAGCCAACACAGCAGGAGGCATCTGAAATATTTGATGTCCTACAGAGAACAATCAGCAATTGGGTTCGGAAACAGAAGTAAATTGAAAAGTTAGGGTTTGCAAGCGGGATTCAGAGTAGGCGGACCGAAGCTGCAGTAATCTGCAAGTAGCCCGAGTTGGAAACAAGACTTTACCATCTATTCCTATCCATAAGAGAGAATGGTCAACCAATACGAATAGGCTGGTTTCGAATTCATTCCAATCAAATATTCCGTGATATTTACCTCAATACCAACGCCAACCATTCCGTATTCCGATTCTCAAATGGATGGTTTGAAGTGTTTTTAAGACGGTTCCGTGTTAGTCTACGATGCATTACAAAAAAGGCTCAGAAAGTGCCAGAAGACTATCGAGTACTGGTAGTAGATTGGATGCAATTCAACCGCCGCAATTCACAGATGACAGGTGGTAGTTGGATGGAAATTTTGCTTAATAGAGCTCTTGGAAGATTTCTATTAAGTAATATATGCAACCTTGATGAAACACCACTGCCTTTTGAATATCTCAATGGCCGGACATACGAATCGATCGGTGCAAGGACTGTTTGGGTTAAGGAGACTAGGAGCGGTTGGGATAAACGACAGGCTAGTTTAGTACTATGCATCTTTGCAGATGACATCAACTGGATACCACCATTAATCATCTTTCACGGTACCGGCAGGGGGAGCCTTGTTCTACGGTAAGCATCTGAATACCACCCTGGTGTCATTGTTGAATTCAATGAAGAGGCAGACATGAATGATCAACTATTGCTCAAATATATTGAACAACACCTACTACCTACTCTCGGTGGACGACCAACTCTATTTGCCATGAATCATTGCACATCACATAAAATGCCGGCGGTACTAGAAATGCTAAAAAATCATGATGTCATTCCGAGTTTAATCTCAGCTGGATGCACAAGCCTACTTCAACCTTTAGATATATCAATTAATAAGCCTTTAAAAGATAAAATAAGAGAATTGATGGATGAGGCTATTATTACTTCAGATATCGATAAATGAACGGTTTGGGAAAGGAGAATACTTACAACTTAGTGTATCGGCGAAGCTTGGTGTGAATTTGCTTTGGAAAAGGGAGATATTATTAGGAGAGCATTTCGGAATGTAGGACTGTCATTAGCAGTAGACGGTAGTGAAGATAATCAGTTGAATATTAAAGGGTTTGATGGAATAGAGGTTGAAGATTGGTATCAAAGAGGTGATGGAGGCGAATTAGATAGGAAAATATCTCCCTCAAGCGCGTATGAAGATATTGGATTTGAACATGACAACAATGAGGCTGTTGAATTTGTAGCATCTGGAGAATAAATATAGGATTATATTTGTATACCAACTTGAACGCTCGCGAAAAGTAATAAGAGTTTTCTTTACAGGTTACTAATTTCTTATGGTTTCTTCAACCGTGACTCTAATTATTCAAATCCCATTCCGTCATCTTATCATCAACTAATTTCTTCAATGCCTCCTCGGAAAATTCTCCAGCTCTTCTCAACTGAATTTCAAATTTCCGCTTTGCTGTTCCTATAGCTGATGACCGCTTTGCTTTCCTAGCATTCCTTGCTCTTCACCTAGCCGAATTTCTTTTCTCCCAGGTTTGCTTATCATCTATAATTGTAAAACAAGTAATTAGTAAATATTATAAAAAAATAGAACATTAAATCATACTCACCGGCTTCTGTCTTTCTTTCTTCTTTGATAGCAGCATATGCAGCCTTGTGGGCTGGGTCTCCTACAAAGCTATTTGCATGATGCAGGAGATGTTGCCAAACAGCTTTGTGGGGATCCTTCCGGTGTTGAAAGTCTTTGTTGCAGGTGGTAACAGGACACCTAACAAACTTTTCGGGTTTTTGGAGGTTATCTACTGGAACTGGTTGCGGGGTAGGAACTGCTAGAGGGGCAATTCCTTTGATAGGTTTTTTTTCTGATCCTACCACTCGCTGTATAGCCATAAGGAGCTTCCATTTTGTAGGGGCGGTTGTGCTTGTGGTTTGGAACCGCAATCAACCCCGGGTTATAGGGTCATCCGGTCAACTATCAGTGATTTGCAATCAACATGAGTTGCCCGAGTCAACCAAAAATGATTTGTAACCTACAATCAGTTGGTCGCGTCAACCAACACTGATTTGCAGTTCATCGCGTCCGCTACCAACTCTCTCAACTCACCTAACCCTCACACCCAACCTAACCCTATAGTACGCCACCACTTCGCCTACTTCGCAACCCTGTGCGGAGATAGCCAATTTTTCGAGTTTTGGCGGTACTACAACAATGGCGTGCTTGTAAATATATTAAAAAGTAAAAAAGCTCGAAATCACCTTATATCTCTGTAATAACCTATCGAATTGACAAACATACTGCAAGATTAGATTCTAGGAGCTTATCTGGCCCGAAGGGTTCTCGTGGTGTGCTTGCGGGTGTTATTCATTTTATTCATTTCAACGATGCAGGTTAGGAATCGTGAGATATCACTCGGTTGATCCCTGTAAGCATGCTGTCTTGGCGTGAAAAATCACCCTCACATTGGTTTCACTCTCTCGCTACTCCGCTACTCCAACCAAATGATTCCACTAATAGAGACCGTGGATCAATTGATCAATATTATACATAGATTCTTCTAAAGCACGGCCCTTTAGTAGTAATATCTTGTGTGGTTCATGTTGAGGAAATAGAATTGAGCTTCAAGACTTTAAGCGGAGAGCCGGGGGAGCGCTTTGGCTTCGCATTTGCCGAGAGTTATATCTCATCCTGTCTAAGGTACTGGCCTGTGTGCGAAGCTGCTTATAATTGCTCCGCCATGTCTCACGTTGAGATCACTTGCAATTTAGAGTGCTTCGGTATCAACCACCAACATCAGGATCGAAGAAAAGAACGTACATACCAACAGGAAGAAGAAAAAGATGACCAGTATCGTATTCCAGGAAAATCCCCACTTGCACTATCGGTATTTCTCCAATGCCGCGATCATGGTCTGGCCATGTAAGCTGGCACAACACCGTATGTACCTCGCAAGCACCATTCTCACCACCGTTGCAGTGGTAACTCGATATGCCCGATAAATGTTTACGAGAATTCCGGGATAGCAGATTCATTTGCAGCAAGGGAATTAAAACCCCAGAGAAAGGACCCGCCGGAGCATTGAGTTCCGGCATACCGAGTTGCGACTGTACCTACACTGGAGCACTCCCGAACTACCGCCATAGCTCGATGAATTGGCTAGCTTCCAGAGATCAAAATTACTTGTCTGGGAAACCTCTGAGCAAGATCGATGCCATCACTCGAACAAGAATCCCTGGCCGGAGATAGCTAATATTTTGAGTTTTGGCGGTGCCTTGGTTGAAGGTACCTACTTTACCTACGATGTCCACCAGCTGACCTTTCCTGTAAGATCGATTCGACTCCATCCATCTTTCGACGTGAAGCTAAGAGCCCAGTCTGCACGTGCACCTCCACGCTTGCAAAGAACAGGAAGTGACGCCGAGGCTGGAGGCACGGACGGAGCTGAGGTCAAACAGAACCACGGAAACGAGCAGATCATGGTTGGGTTGCGAATCGGGCTGCATGCGGCAGATGGCCAACCCTGTGTTAAGTTTAAACACACTGGATATGTACCGACGTGGGTAGGTAGAGTAGAGCACCTAGGTACTCTACTCTTGGAATTGGTAGAGTACTCTAGAGAGAAGGCTGGCCGAGTATCGTACGGCTGTGTCTGTATATATAAGCCAGCCCCCCTCTGGCAATGGATCTGGCGCCCAGTTCATAGCATCCCATCTTCAATCCTCTCACCCAGCCTCATAACGCTTCTTTCTCCCAGACTTCACCCCCGAGACAATACACCACGATGGCCCTCATGAACGGACTCCTGTCTCTCCACGTCGGCCAGGGTCAGGGCTCCTGGATGCGTGAGTTTAACGGGTATGCCGTCACCTCCCTATCCGAGGACCGTCCCTGGCAGCTGCGCGCCTCCCCGAACAGCCGGAACGAGTTCACCCTCACATATGACGGAAAAGACGACATGGCCCTCACCCTCGGCGAGGAGGATAGCGACCCTAAAGAGATTACCATCATCATAAAGCCACTCGACGATCCACCATCCCGGGAGCAGCTGTGGACATTTGAGGAGGTGATGGGACCTCCAATGTAGGAATTATCAGCATATATATCCTAGGATTGTGTTTGTCAACTAACATCAGACGGGACAGATTCCCCCCCCGAATGATGGGCCGATTGCAGAGCTGTGCAAGGCCAGACCTGTCCGCGAGTGTCGGTGGACACATCCCCTTGCCAAGGATCTTCCTGCCAGTCTCGGCGGTGCCGAACGAGAAAGCTCGTCTGAATCCTGATGCCGCGAGATGGTACGCTAATTACAAGAGTGTGAACTAAGTGGATGACCCGTGCGGAGAGGGGGAAAGTGGTTTGGGGTTGCATGGGGCGGGGGTAGAGGAGGCGAGACGGAATTGTTGGCCTGAGCTATTAGGACGGGCTGCGTATACACTATGTACATGTATACGTATGGCCTGCACAACTGCAGCCTTTCTTTTAATTGTACTCTTACATACTTCATTAGCTTGTAGTGTTCGTGATCACACAGTCGGGCCGCATCAGAGCTTGAGCGGTGGTCTTGTTCATGAGTTCGTCCTTGTACTTGAGAATAGGTAGATCTGGCAAGGACGGCAACCGATTACGTCCCCCGTGATCATTAACTGAGCATTGAATAAATCTTTGTTCCCTCCAGATCTTGCTTGATCATAACCGCTATCACTCGCAATCTCGTGACATTGTGTCCTGTTTGATTTATTTAGTCCCAGCTACACAAGCAACGCTGACCAAATAAATGCACAGCCAGCGGTACACTTGATGCACTTACTCCTTGCTCTATGGACCGATGAAATACAATACCAAAAATGGGGCAGGGATTAGTATGGTAGTGCTACAGTAGTCTTGCTACAATGCGGTATTTTCGGGACTGCTGCATCATTTCGGCATTTCAAGGAGTATGTTTTCATAGAATGCCGTAGCAATACCATAGCAATACCGTAGCACTACCACAGCAATATAGACACATTTTAGCATTGTGACCAGTACCAGGTCCAGCGCGCCAGAACCATGTCCAGTGTGCCAGCACCAGGTCCAGCGTGCCAGTATGCCAGGTCCATGACCAGGACCACACCTACATGTAGGCTCGGACACAATTTTACAAGACTAGACCACACCTATATGACTTCATCATCATCATCACCAACATGAGCATATCATAATCGAATAGTAGACGCAACTTCTAATTAAAATGACGTGTATATGTATGCCTAAGAGCCCAAAATTTATTTTTCAAAAGTATATCCTAGTTGTTTAAACCCCATTCTAGGATGATAAGAATCCATGGATCGGTGGATGAAACAATATCTGGTGATCTTTGATTTTGAAATGCTTCATCACCAAATATGATATTCCAGGGTTAAGTGAATGACATTGTCCTAAATACCACAAGAATGCCGTATTTTAAAAAATGCGGAAGTACTAGGGCAGTATATATATACCACCCACACTGTGCAATCCAGGGAATATATAGATTATATAATACAGTATTGATACGGCATCGATAGAGCATATGCTGAAGGGCGGCCTTACTCATGCGATAGCCGGTGTGCTACCTGATTTGATGGGATGGCGTAGTACTACCGTACTAACCCCCACCCTTTTTTTGGTATTGTATATCTGTCTACAGGCTGACCAAACAATATATACATGAATATGAGATTGATAGGTAATATAATATTCGCGAATATGCCAATATACCTATACGGCCATGAAAACACAAGCAATCCTGACAACTTCTCACTCACTGCTGCAGTCCTCCACCAACCCACCGACAAGCCACTACCAAGCCAGAGCCTCAATCACTCTCCGGCCATAACCCCCCAGTTCTCTAATCAGCAGCACCGACATTATAAGGTATCACTCACATCTCGACAACTATCACGAGATAACAACAGGCATGACCGTCACGTACCAGGGCCCTGACGATGGCCTCTATCACCGCCACTAGTCCAGCCCTATCGGCTATTACCACGTGACCCAAGAGATTTACTTCCTTGTGTGATGCATTTAGGCAGCGCTCTAGCTACCATCACTGCCGCTAATACTGTAAAAGCACAATCGTAGTCCAATATTGAGCGTGACAGTTTGAGAATTTTTTCTATGTTGTAAGTGCTTCTGAATCGAACAGAACATTTACATGTTTGTATGACAACTGATCTTACCAGTAGAATGAGTGTAACAATGAGCCAAGTGGCGAGTGTGTGTGGAAAAGAATCGGTGAAAACGGTGATTTTGCTGTCCAACCCGAGACCTCTGTGAGGCTTTCTCGTGCTATTATCCCCTGTAGACGTAGATGAGCTTATCGAGTTTCATAGATCGACTGGTGAATACATTGGGTTACGAGGAGTTGGATTAGTCAGAAGGGTTCTATTGGGTTCTATCGGGTTCTGTGGGTTGTAAGCGTGTGAGTCACATTGGATTTGTCATCGCTAGTGTTTCCTTGGGTATATTAAGGAGGTTTTGTCTCCATTTCTTGTTCTTCTTCTTTTCTTTCTTTTACTACGCAACGTCTTCTGTATCTACGCTGTCTATTACTATACAATATTACCTTCCTATTCTTTACTGAAGAAGACCATCGCCTCACTTCCCCTTGTCTCGTTGACCCTTACCGACGCCAGAGTCCCCTCAGGACCCCTATTGCGAGTTCCCACACCGATCCCCACTACACCCTTCGTACCCTGCGGAATACTCGCTACTCGCCCCCTTGAGATTACATTGCGTCGTCATCCGCACCGTACGACATGTTCACCCCCGACCCACCTGCATAGGCCCCACCCAACGATGTAGAAGAATTCAAGCGGCAGTATGGGGTCGACGCTGCCGACTTATTAAACAACATCGCCGTCCTGGTCCAGCGTATCCGCCTCCAGAAGGATACCTTGAGTACACAACTCACCGCCGCCAACGAAGCCATTGACAACCTTGAGGAGCAGGTAACTCAGCTCAACCTCGACCTCAATGTCGCTCGCGCTGCCCCCGCCCCTGCCGTCTCTGCCCCCGTTGCCGCTGCTCCCCCACCTACTACTGTCCCTGCCTTCAGGTCCGAAAAGTTCCCAGACCCTGAAAAATTGCACGGCACCCATACCAAGCTTCCCGGATTCACCATCCAACTTCGAATGAAACTTGAAGTCAACCACGATTGGTTCCGAAACGAGGCAGCAAAAGTTATCTATGCTGTCAGTCGCTTGGAAGGAGGGGCCCTTGACCAGGTCGTTCCACTCGTTAACGCTAACCCTGCTGCCCCATTCTCCTCCATCACTACCTTCATTGCCCACCTGAAAGCCTCGTTTGGAGACCCAGGTCCCCGGGGTACCGCCGTCACCAACTAGTCGCCCTGAAGCAAGGCAAAGGGGACTTCGCCACCTATTACTCGCAATTCCTCCGTATTGTGGCCTAGCTGGACTACAACGAAGGAGCCCAGATCGATGCCCTGGCTGAAGGACTGTCGGACGATCTGAAGGGCACCATGACATACTGGACAGACAGGCCTAACACCGTAGAGGCGTATGCCACCATGTTAATGACAATTGACAACCAGGTTCGGGTCAGTAAAGCTGAACAACAGGCCATTCGGAATACGATGGGACAATTTAAGGCCCCCGCCACTGTCGCACACCCATCTCATACCGCCGGAGGCCTCGCCTCAATGGACCTCTCCACCCTCCAAGCCCGTCCCACTCAACGCCCTCCCACCGAACAACGATTCATCTTTCTCAATGGACAACGCAAGACCTCCGCTGCTGAAAAATAATGGCGAAGGGACAACAATCTCTGTATGTTCTGCGCTAACCCCGGCCATGTCTTTGCCAACTGCCCCTCTGCCAATCGCCCGCGTAGTAACCAACCGGTTATAAGGGGCGCCCTCCTCGCATCCAGTCATACGGCCGTCGACCCCGCTGTTCCACTGGTCGCTAGTCCCGCCTCCTCTGAGTCGGGTTTTCAGTAGTCCCGGGCTTCATTAATGGCCCCTGCCCGGGACCTTCCAATGTTTCTCCTTTGTCTGCGTTTTCTATCTATGGCTTCTCGGTATCGTCTGTGGAGGATAAATTGGATGGGGATCATTTTGTTGCTTCTTGTAAAATTATAAACAATAAAATATCCATTCAAACTCACGCATTGATTGATACCTGTTGCTCCGGATTCGCATTCATTGATGAAACATTCGCGTGCCATAACAACCTCCCATTTTTCCCCCTTAAATCACCCCGCACTCTTGAAGTCATCGATAGACGGCCCATATCTTCCGGACAGATTACCCACCTGTGCTACCTCCCCCTGTCAATTGACTCCCACCACGAAACCATCCCCTTCTTCGTCACTAAACTCGGCTCGTACCCACTCGTACTCGGAATCCCCTGGCTTCAATTATACGACGCCACCTTACGGTTTAAGGACAATAGCATACTATTCGACTCCGAATACTACAAGCGCAAGTGTAACTCTTCCGCAATACCCGTTCCCATTAGAGGGATTGCACCACCACCCCGTTTGCACCTCGTTAGTTCAGCGGCTCTTTGCCGCTTTGCTCGAAGGGACAAGCTCCAAATCTTTAGCACAACTATTGAGGAAATAGACCAAATCATGGGGGAGGCCCCTAAGGATGACTGGAGGAACCGAGTTCCAACCTGGTATAAGAAGTTTCACGAGATGATGGACGAAAATTTCTCTAACGAGATGCCGCCTCGCCGCCCCTATTACCATAAGATACCGCTTAAGGAAGGGAAAGAGCCCCCTTTTGGGCCACTTTATGGTATGTCCCGTGAGGAACTCATTGTGCTTAAGGAATACATACAGGACAACCTCCAAAAAGGCTTTATTCAGGCCAGCTCTTCACCTGCCGGTGCCCCTGTCCTATTTGTTAAAAAGGTCGATGGAACACTCCGCCTCTGTGTCGATTATGGTGGCCTCAATGAACTCACGGTCAAAAACCGCTGCCGCTCATCCGGGAAACTCTCGACCGCCTCTCCAAAGCCAAGTGGTACACCAAACTTGATCTTCGCCAAGGGTATAATCAGATCCGAATGACTGAGGGTGAAGAATAGAAAACAGCCTTCCGTACGCGTTACGGACATTTCGAATATACAGTGATGCCCTTCGGCCTTACCAATGCGCCGGCCACCTTCCAACACTTCATTAACGATTGCGTCCATGACTACCTTGATATGTTCTGTACAGCCTACCTTGACGATATTCTCATCTACAGCGACACCTTCAAGGAACGTCAAGTACATGTCGAAAAGATCCTGAAAGCCCTACAAAGAAGTGGAGTACTGCTGAAACCAGAGAAATGTGAATTTCATACACAAAGCACCACCTACCTCGGCCTCATTATCGAAACCAATGGTATTAAAATAGACCCAAGGAGAGTGGAGACAGTAAAGTATTGGACCGTCCCCAAAACAGTTAAGGATGTGCAAGCATTTCTAGGTCTCGCTAACTTTTACGGCCAATTCATACGCGGATCCTCGGAACTGGCTTCCCCCCTCACCAGACTGATACGTAAGGACATATCATTTGAATGGACACTCGAAGCCCAAACTGCCTTCAACATCCTGAAAGAAGCCTTCACAACGGCTCCCATTTTTACTCATTTTGACCCGGAGAAGGAAATTACTGTGGAAACTGACGCATCTGACTATGTCTCTGCCGGTGTACTCTCCCAATACGATGATAATGGTACCCTTCGACCCATCGCATATTTCTCAAAAAAGCACTCCCCCGCCGAATGCAAATACGAGATTTATGACAAGGAATTACTGGTGATTATTCGATATTTTGAGGAATGGCGACCGGAACTTGAAGGGGCTGCACACCCAATCGCCGTCATATTCGATCATAAGAATCTCAAATACTTTATGAGTACTAAACAACTCAACCGGAGACAAGCACGGTGGGCAGAATATCTCTCACGGTTTAATTTTGTCATTAAGTACCGACCAGGGAAACAAGGAGGGAAACCGGACGCGTTGACAAGAAGATCGGGAGATCTCCCTGGAGAGGGGGACGAAAAGCAATTACATCAGAGTCAAGTTGTATTGAAGAAAGAGAATCTTGTCGCAAAGCTAAGTTTGTTGGCGGGTTCTCTCTCAAATGAGCCCGCTGAAAAGAACGCCTCACTGCACATACTGTTCGATGAAGGAGATAGCGCTGACCTGTTTCCACAAAAGATACTGGATATGCGGAACCAAGGTGAACGACAATCAAAGGACATATCACTCGCCGAATTAACCGAGGTGGAAGGCCGGTTGCTTTACCGAAGCAGCATATATGTACCCGATTACGACCCTCTCAAGCTCCGAATCCTCCAACTTTACCATGACGCTGCCTCCGCCGGACACTCTGGACGCGAAAAAACATTCGAACTCATCAGTCGAGACTACTACTGTCCCCTTATGCGGAATTATATTGCCCGTTATGTTCGGAACTGCCACACCTGTCAACGAATCAAACCCAACACCCATGGAAAACGCGGCGTACTTCGACCTTTACCGATTCCCGAACAACCATGGCAGGAGGTATCAATGGACTTCTTCACTGGCCTACCGGAGAGCGAAGGGTATGACGTGATTATGGTAGTTGTTGACCGGTTAACAAAGATGCGATATCTCCTGCCCTGTAATACCACCGTCAACTCCGAAGACGTCGCCCAACTATGTCTGCGAAATATATGGAAGCTCCACGGACTACCCACACATGTCACCTCCGACCGCGGTACGCCATTCACAGCCAAGTTCTGGAAGGCTCTCTGTAAATACCTCGACATCGAAGCCAGAATGTCCACCGCCTTCCACCGGGAAACCGACGGCCAAACCGAGAGGCTGAACGCCGTAATGGAGCAATATCTACGTGGGTATGTCTCTTATCAACAGGACGATTGGGTAAAATGGCTCCCTATGGCAGAATTTTCTGCCAACAATCAGGTCTCCGAATACACCAAAGCCAAACCATTCTTCGCAAACTATGGTTTCTACCCCCGGTTTACAGTGACGATCAAATCGCTTGACAGGACCCCACCAAGCCTCAATGCTAAAGACTTCGCCACGAAGATGAAAGAACTCCAGGAACACCTATGTCCCAATATCCGCACGGCGCAAGATCAACAAGAGCAGGCCATCAACACCAAACGAACGCCGGCTCCACGGTACGATATCGGCGATATGGTGTTTGTTTCAGCAAAAAACATCAGTTGGACTGGAAGAAACTGGGACCGTTCTCCGTTAAAGAAATCATATCGCTATATGCGTACCGACTCGACCTGCCTAGGAGTATGAAAGTGCACCCCATCTTCCACGTATCATTATTAGACCCCGCTGCAAATGACTCTGTCCTGGGGCAAACTCAATCACCACCCCCGCCTATTATCGTCGAACAGGAAGAGGAGTATGCAGTGGAGGAAATCTTGGATTCAAGGGAAACGAGGAACAACGGCCTGCAATACTTTGCTAAATATACAGGCTATACCGACCCTACTTGGGAACCCGCCACTTACCATGATAATACCGCCACTGTCGATATTTTCCATGCACATTACCCCGACAAACCTTGACCGTTGGAAGGGAAGATTAAGGTTCAGGCTCGTAGGAGCTCGAGCTTGAAGGGAGAGGTTACTTTCATGGATCAATTAGTGAATACACTGGGTTACGAGAAGTTGGATTAGTCAGAAGGGTTCCATTGGGTTCTACCGGGTTCTGTTGGTTGTTAGTATATGAGTCACTTTGGATCTCTCATCGCTGGGATTTCATTTGGGTATATCAAGGGGGGTTCGTTCTTATTTCTTGTTCTTTTCTTTTCTTTCTTTCTTTCTTTATGCAACGTCTTCTGTATCTACACTGTCTATTACTATACAATATTACCTTCCTCTTCTTTACTCAAGAAGACCACCGCCTCGCTTCCCCTTATCCCGTTGACCCTTACCAACGCCAGAGTCCCTTAGGACTCCTATTGCGAGTTCCCACACCGATCCCCACTACACCCTTCGTACCCTGCGGAATACTCGCTACTCACCTCCTTGAGACCTGACCACTTCTGGAGCACTCCTGACTGCTCCAGCGGGCCCTGGGATAGAACAATCGCGCTGACCCCTCCTGACTTTGCAGGAACGGGTGCTTTCGAACCTGGCTCATGCCCGACATACTGATTCCTATATGTCGGCACCCTATTCTCTTCAAGCACACACCGCTCCATCGTATTTGCCTGTGTTATTCACAATTCCCCTATGAGATTACCAAAATATCGCTCGGATGATGATCTCTACTGCCTTCAGAGCACTTGTGACTGCACTCTTAGAATTGATTTATTTAACACCATAATCCTCCACCTAACACTAAGGAATACACTATTTAATACCCTAACTAACCCTAATACAATATACGGAAAAGGAGAAGTACCCCACTATCATCCTTAGCACTGACGATTGTTTTACAAATCATGCTCCCCCGCCCTTTCGTAATCCCCCACTACAGGTAATTCTGACTTCTCTTCTTCCTTTTTCTCCTCATCTTCGGTGTCAATACCGCAAAGTTGGGCATTAATCACTTCATTCTGCATACTGTCGGAATCAACCCGACCTCCTGGAGCACTCATGGGTGATCTCTGAGCATCTCACAATGCGGCAAGATCTGCAGCCAACACTTTATCGTCCTCGCAAAAACCCTCCTCCGGTATCATCTCAATAATTACACCCTTTTTATCTCATATCTATCAGGATTAGCATTTAGAATACCACTCACATTACCGGCATCTAGAAGTATCATACCTTTTCTAGAAGGTTATCTTTGATTACCTCCGAAGTTGCCTCCTGGTTCTGTTTACTTCCCTCCTTCCTAGTATTGCATATTCTGTTGAACTCTTCTACCCAAATTTGGATGCCAGCTTGGCAATCCCATATAGCGCTAGGAGTACCTGCCATTGCTTCCAAAGCACTTGCCATATCAATTAGTGCATCGGGCGATACTTCCTCACAACCCTCTCATTCTACGATTAAAAATAATTAGGCTTCAAGTAACTCCCTCTAGTACGGCAATGTTAGACAAGATTTTGAGGTTGCCCGAGAACCTTCGCCCCACAATTCCCGGCTCTGTAGCTATGGGTTGACTAGCATGATCTGAGGCTACTCCCATTATCCGGTATGCACGTACAAGAGGTCATGGTTGTGATTGCAGGGGCGAAGGTGGTGGTTGGGGGCTGTTGAGTAGGGTAATTCACTGTGAGTCTTGGCGATCCATACTGGTTCACTCCCGGCACCACCACTCACCGGGTGGGTACAACGATCGATGACTGCATGGCACCGAACGCACCGTCTCGAGCCCACGGTCATGACGGTGCATGAAATTCAATGATGCCGCGTTTCCCCATCCTCTGCTTCGATGGTCTCAAGGGGGTGAGTAGCGAGTACTCCGCAGGGTACGAAGAGTGTAATAGGGGGCGGTATGGGAACTCGCAATAGGGGTACTACGGGACTCTAGCATTGGTAAGGTTCGACGGGACATGGAGGAAGCGAGGCGGTGGTCCTCTTAAAGAAAGAAGAGGACGATAATATTGTATAGCAATAAACAGCGTAGATACAGAAGACGTTGCGTAAAGAAAGAAGAAGAAAAAGAACGAAAAGTACAAACGACCCCTCTTAATATACTCAAGGAAATCGCAGCGATGACAAATCCAACATGACTCATACATTAACAATCAACAGAACCCGATAGAACCCAATAGAACCTTTCTGACTAATCCAACTCTTCGTAACCCCGTACCTCCCCTAATCGATCCATGAAAGTAGCCCCTCCCTTCAAGCGCGAGCTCCTGCGAGCCTTAACCTTAATCTTGCCTTCCAACGGTCCAGGTTTATTGGGGTAATGTGTATGGAAGATATCGACGGCGGCGGTATTGTCGTGGTCTGCAGCGTGTTCCCAGGTAGGGTCGGTATAGACTGTCCACTTAACAAAATATTGCAGGCCACCATTCCGTGTTTCTCGCGAGTCGAAGATTTCCTCAACTGCATACTCCTCTTCCTGCTCGACGATAACAGGTGGGGGTGGTGGTTGAATTTGCCCCGGTACGGGATCGTTTGCAGCGGGGTCTAGCAATGATACATGGAAGACGGGGTGCATCTTCATACTCCTAGGCAGGTCGATTCGATATGCATATGGCGATATAATTTCTTTAACGGGGAACGGTCCCAGCTTCTTCCAGTCCAGCTTCCGGGAGTTACGCGTGGTTCAGATGTTTTTTGCTAAAACAAACACCATATCGCCGATATCGTACCCTGGAGCCGGCGTTCGTTTGGTGTTGACGGCCTACTCTTGTTGATCTTGGGCCGTACGGATGTTGGAACGTAGGTACTCATGGAGTTCTTTCATTCTCGAGGCGAAGTCCTTAGCATTGAGACTCGGTGGGGTCCTGTCAAGCGATTTAGTCGTCACTGTGAACCGGGGGTGGAATCCATAGTTCGCGAAGAATGGTTTAGCTTTAGTTGATAGGGAGACCTGGTTTTTGACGGAGAATTCTGCCATAGGAAACCATTTTACCCAATCGTCCTGTTGATAAGAAACATACCCACGTAGATATTGCTCCATCACAGCATTCAGCCTTTCGATTTGGCCGTCGGTCTCCGGGTGGAAGGCGGTAGACATTCTCGCTTCGATGTCGAGGTGTTTACAAAGAGCCTTCCAAAACTTGGCTGTAAATTGCGCACCGCGGTCGGAGGTGACGTGTGTGGGTAGCCCGTGGAGCTTCCATATATTTCGCAGGTATAGTTGGGCGACGTCTTCAGAGTTGACAGTTGTATTACAGGGCAGGAGATGTCGCATCTTCGTTAACCGGTCAACAACTACCATAATCACGTCATACCCTTCGCTCTCCGGTAGGCCAGTGAAGAAGTCCATTGATACTTCCTGCCATGGTTGTTCGGGAATCGGTAAAGATCGAAGTACGCCGCGTTTTCCATGGGTGTTGGGTTTGATTCGTTGACAGGTATGGCAGTTCCGAACATAACGGGCAATATAATTCCGCATAAGGGGACAGTAGTAGTCTCGACTGATGAGTTCGAATGTTTTTTCGCGTCCAGAGTGTCCGGCGGAGGCAGCGTCATGGTAAAGTTGGAGGATTCGGAGCTTGAGAGGGTCGTAATCGGGTACATATATGCTGCCTCGGTAAAGCAATCGGCCTTCAACCTCGGTGCATTCGGCGAGTGATACGTCCTTTGATTGTCGTTCACCTTGGTTCCGCATATCCAGTATCTTTTGTGGAAACAGGTCAGCGCTATCTCCTTCATCGAACAGTATGTGCAGTGAGGCGTTCTTTTCAGCGGGCTCATTTGAGAGAGAACCCGCCAACAAACTTAGCTTTGCATCAAGGTTCTCCTTCTTTAATACCACTTGACTCTGATGCAATTGTCTTTCATCCCCCTCTCCAGGGAGATCTCCTGATCTTCTTGTCAACGCGTCCGGTTTCCCTCCTTGTTTCCCTGGTCGGTACTTAATGACAAAATTAAACCCTGACAGATATTCTGCCCACCGTGCTTGTCTCCGGTTGAGTTGCTTGGTACTCATAAAGTATTCGAGATTCTTATGATCTGATATGACGGCGATTGGGTGTGCAGCTCCTTCAAGTTCCGGTCGCCATTCCTCAAAAGACCGAATAATTGCCAGTAGTTCCTTGTCGTAAATCTCGTAGTTGCATTCATCGGGGGAGTGCTTTTTTGAGAAATATGCGACAGGTCGAAGGGTACTATTGTCATCGTATTGGGAGAGTATACCGGCAGAGACATAGTCAGATGCATCAGTTTCCATGGTGATTTCTTTCTCAGGGTCAAAATGAGTAAGAATGGGAGCCGTGGTGAAGGCTTCTTTCATAGCGTTGAAGGCGGTTTGGGCTTCAGGTGTCCATCCAAATGATATGTCCTTACGCGTCAGTCTGGTAAGGGGAGAAGCCAGTTCAGAGAATCCACGTATAAATCGGCGGTAAAAGTTAGCAAAACCTAGAAATGCTTGCACATCCTTAACTGTTTTGGGGACGGTCCAATTCTTCACTATCTCCACTTTTCTTGGGTCCATTTTAGTACCATTGGGTTCGATAATAAGGCCGAGATAAGTGGTGCTTTGTGTATGAAATTCGCATTTCTCCGTTTTCAACAGTACTCCTTTTCTTTGTAGGGCTTCCAGGACCTTTTCGACGTGTATTTGATGTTCCTCGAAGGTATCGCTGTAAATAAGGATATCGTCGAGGTAGGCTGTGCAGAACATATCGAGGTGTTACAGGAAACACGAACACTGCTCCTAAGTCAAGGAACAAGGATAATACGAGTGATGGGTTGTGATGCGAGTACGGTCGGGTAACGAGGGAACAAGTATAGAAAGGTACCGAGGGGTGTGGGGGCACCGGGTGCAACCACACTAGTATTAGGCTGTTGTGAGGGCACGCTTACTATTGGGTGTCTCACCCGGAACGGAATAGAAGCGGGGCTTATGGCTGCAGGCCATTCTACTTGGGGAAGTAGCTCTAGGACAATAGCATGATACAGCTCGGTTACTGGCAATTGCGGGGTTTATGGTTACGTGTCGGGATTAGAATGGAGGAACGGAACTATGCGGGGGCGCTTTTCTATTGGGGTTATCTTCGGGTTGATTATCTTATTCTATTATCGTTATCTCATTAGTATTAGAAAGCGGGCCTTGGCATAGGTTCCAATATGTATAAATATGGAAGGGTTCCGCCTCGTCTTAGTGGCATCATCAGTCACTCAGCGAGCGGAATCCGGTTTACAATATTACAAGTTTAAAAGCTACAGAACTATTGCTTAGCATTGGCATTTCCCCAAACACTATATTGTACCTTATCCACTACGCTATTATTTTATCGATCGCATATTATCAACGTCCCGATAAGACAACTACTTGCTTAGACCAATACTTGAGAGTATTTTGTTTGTGGCGGATAGTCACCGTGCGCTCAAGTAAAAGAATAAGACACTAGTCTATTAGAAGGACTCTTTGATACCGTATGCATCCCCGAGTAGCAACAGCAGCTATCAACAACTTTACTTGCACTACCTCCTTCATCGTTCGCAGAGGCAGTGCTGAACATCTCTATTGCGGATACCTCGAATACGCCGGGTTTTTTACCGAAGCAGGTACTACTTGTACATTCGAAGAACACGACCCGGAAATCCTCAACTATCCCGAACTCTTCCCCATTAAAGTTACCCTCAGTCAGCAATCCCACGGATTAGCTCACTCCGTCCCCTGGTTCGTCGCTCAACCCTGGTGCAGAAGACAGCCACAACTCAGAATCGAGCAGCTTAGCGATGTCAAGGGGTCATCAGCAACAAATGGAGGAAGACTACAACATGGAGAGCTCGATCACCGTGAGAGATCGAGGTATAGTCGAGACCCAGGCGAGACAGCGCCACAGGAGGGATCTGGACATGCCGATCAGCGACCTCTTCAGATCGACTCAGCCGGCCGCATCCTATGGCCAACCCCGCTCCCGCAGGCAAGGGGACTACCGAGACTATTCCCCGTACAAGACGCCAATCATAGAACGATCTTCTATTCCGAGGCCCTCGGTCCTCAGGGTAACGGACGACGACGAAGACACGAATATGGACGTGGAAGAACGCCGTATCGAGCACCCCTTTGGAGAAATCATCGGGCAGGAAATCGAACGGAGAGGAGCCCCAGTGGTTCAGCAGCTGAGTCGCGGACTTGGAGACCTCACTGTGAGCGTCCAAGACCTGCCCGCAATCAGGGAAATTACTCGGCAGCACGCGGCGCAGCTTACCCAGCAGCACGAAGAACAGACCAAACTCATCCGCGAATTGCAGATGAAGTTCACCCAGGACCAAGAAGAACGGGAGCGCCGAGAGGGGTACATCCTCGCTCAAGTGCGGGCAGAAACAGCCGCGACCACTACGAACCTCGGCCAAGTCTTGGAACAGATCGCCAATACCACTAGGGCCCACCAACAGCGGCAGGAAGAGCAGGCCCAGCACATAACTATGCTGGCCGACTGGATTCAAAGGCTGCCGAAAGAAGGCCCAGCCCAAGTCCCAGACGGCGTATCAGCTACACTGGCACAATTGGAGAGGACCATGCAGCAGCAGGTCTCCTTGGTAGATGGGTTCTCTGGGACAAGGACGGCTCTAGAAGAAATGATAGAGCAGATGAAGGAAACAGCCCGTAAAGCGGCTGCGGAAAAACCACTGGCCCCAGAGACGGGTGGCGGTGGATCAGGCCCACCTCCTAGACCACCTCCCCAACAACCAGTCGCCCCTCCAGCCGGCTCCGAATCCAGTGAAGACCTCGAAGACCCAGGCCAACAAGGGAAGCAAGGAGGTCAAGGAGCACAAGGAGGAGGTAACGGGGATGGCAACAAGGGAGGAGGCCAAGGAGCACAAGGTGGAGGTAACGGGAATGGCAATAAGGGAGGTAACGCCCCGGAAGCACCCGGATCATCCCCATCGGATTCCTCAGATTCGGAAGGCGAACGCCGCAAGCGGCTGGAACGTAAGGAACGAAGACACGAAAGAAGGCGCCAACGAGAGCAAGAACTCTCGCACCACCCTCGCGACACCATAGGTGATGCGCCCAAAAAGGCCAATATCCCCTTCTCCGGAAGAGCCGATCAAGACGTAAGACTCTGGATCGACCAGATGGAGATTCTAATCAGTCTCCAGAAGAAGGTCCAATGGGATGATGGCACTAAGATTATGTGGGCATCCCTCGAGTTTACCGGTAGTGCGGCAAACTTTTGGCGGAATTTTACGGAGAGGTTAGCTGTGGATCGCAGTATCGGAACCTGGGAACGGTTCAAGCAGGAACTTCGTACCCAATACGGCAACCGCACGAGTCAGGAACAGGCCAAGCAGAAGATGGACAGACTCCGGCAAACTGGCCCAATCGACGACTACATCAATGAGATGCAGAACCTAGAATGGGACGCACGAGTTGGACCAGTTGTCATGAGATCCATGATCCTAACAGGAATAAACTCCTCGCTGGAACAACGGCTCTCTAATGCGATTGAGGAACCTAGTGATTTTGTGGACTGGTTAGCATGGGTACGAAAAGTCGGACGCAAGGACCACGAGGTGAAGGCTCGGAAAGAAATC